TATTATTTTTATGACTTATTAAAATTATTATATCTTTTTTATTTTTTTTTGTTATTTCAATGTCTAAATCAGAATCTATTTATTTATATATGTATTTAAATTAATAAATTTTGTATGTTTTTACATTATATTTAAAATATTTAATTTTATTAAAAATTAAAAAATTTATTTAGTTTAAATTTTCATATACTGTACTTATACTAATTTGATTCAATAATTAATATAAAAAATACATTTAATACAATAATAAATATTTAATATTAACTATGATTATATAACTGTTATTTTTTAACAATTTCTAAAAAATATATCTGATTTAATATCAATTAAATATTTTAGCCATACAATAAAATAATTATAGTAGTATACGATATTGTATTTTTGTTAAATTTTTACTATTAATAAAATGTTTAAATAATTGAAAATGTTCTAATTATAAATTTTCAGTTAATATATAAATATAAATAATTAAGTTTTAAAATATAAAAATATATTAATTATGACTCATTTGAATTATATTAAATCAAATTAAACAATAAATGTCGTACATTTTATTGTCATACATAATAATTAGATACTTTAATAGTTATTTGATTAACAATTATTTAATATATTTACATTGATTTAATTAATCATTGATTTATATCAATAATGTTTTATAGTATTTACAACTAGTTTTTCATAAGTAAATTTAAATTTATAAAAATTTTAGTATATTTTATTACAATTTAAAAATTTGATTTTCACATTATTTAAATATTAAATTATAAAAATAAATTATGAAATTTTATTTTTTCAAAATATATAAATCGAATATTTTTCAACATGTTAATATTTAATATATTAGCATATATAAAGTACTATACCGTAGTGTTACAATACTATAGCAGTTATATATTATATATATTATATATTATTTATAACCAAATCTATTAGTTAGCCTAGTATATTTATATAATTATAAAACCTACAAATATATCTACATACACATAAATATATCTACAATTGTCTGTATTTTGTAAACTATTAAAAATAGTTTTAAATATATTACTAAATAGCTAATTAAATTTTATTTAAATGTTAATTTTATTTTTTATTTAAATATATCATTAATATACTTAAAAATTAATTCCTAAATTTATCAATAATTAATTGTTAATTATTAGTTGATACCTCAATTAATTACATAATTAATATTAACTAAATAACAACATAAAAAATATAAATTATTATTAAAGAATTTTATTTAATTGAATTTTTAAAATGTTATTTATATTCAAATTATAATGCTTTAAAATTTGATTTTTACAATAAAGAAATTTACAAGTGGTTAAAAAATAAACTACAAATGATCTAAAATATTACTACTATCTATTTAATCTTTTTAATTAAAAAATTAAAAATTATTCAATAAATCGAGTGTCCGTTTAATTACATTTTAGACAATCGGTAAGTTTGTCCAAAATTGATTGATTTTGCAGACCATTCAACTGTCCCAACACATTGTTCAACAATGACTGTGTAGTAGCCGATAGCAAACCCGATAGTATGGGACATATGGCTCCCAGTCCTCCGAGTATACCACCCAATACACCGAGAAGACTGCCAACTAAGCCGACAACGGTGTCCAACAATTGGTCCAGTAGTCCGACGAGTCCGACATTCAAACCGAGTCCAGCGATACATTGTTTAACATTTGGTAATTTAGTCGTACATTGACCCAAACCTATGATATTTAGATAAAAAATTATATGTTTTAATATTAAATAATTATTAAATTTATTAATCAATAATTACCACAAATATCATTGAGAAGTTGTTGTGGAGTAATGGCATCACAACTATTGATAACAATAGTTAGTGTCATAACAATCACTATTGAAGATATAGTTATTAATTTTGTAGACATTATTCTAGAAAATTATTTAAACAACTTTAATTAAATCAAGTTTTACTTAAAATTAAAAACTTTTTTTTTATAATTTAATGTTTTAATATTAATATTTTAAGCAAGTGTTGAAAGTTTAATTAAATATTTGATGTATTTATACTATTTTATAAACTGTATTTTTTATATACATTTTATAAATTGTCATAGTTTTGTCAAAATACAGTATTTTTGTAAATAAATATATAAATCAAAAATTTTGAAATTTTTTATATAAAATATTTATCTAACTTAAAAAATAAATATCATGCTAATGTAATTAATAATTATAAAATTACTAAATGTGTTGAAATTTATTTTTCAAAAATATACATATATAAAAATAAAATATTATAGTACATGTATAGAGTTGGGATAAAAATTATTGTTGTTATTTGTATATTATAATAAATAGTAATTTATTACAATATTATTGTTAAACTATAAAAAAAAATTTTGAAATTACAAGATTAATTATTTATGTTTACTTAATTGAAATATTATTAAAATTATATAAAAAATAACTTTATCATTATATTCTATGATTTTAATAAATATTTAATTTATCAATTTTTTTAAATAGTTAAATTTATTGCTTAATAAACAATTATGAAAAACAAATTTTGCAATATTTTTGATTTATATTGTTATTTACAAATAATACTGTATTTTTTGACAAAACTATGACAATTAATAAAATGTATATAAAAATGCAGTTTATAAAATAGTATAAATACATCTTATATTTAATAAAACTTTTAACACTTGCTTAAAACATTAAATTAATAAAAAATAATTTTGAGTAAATCTTGATTTAATAAAAGTTGTTTAAATATTTACTAGAATAATGTCTACAAAATTAATAACTATATCTTCAATAGTGATTGTTATGACACTAACTATTGTTATCAATAGTTGTGATGCCATTACTCCACAACAACTTCTCAATGATATTTGTGGTAATTATTGATTAATAAATTTAATAATTATTTAATATTAAAACATATAATTTTTTATCTAAATATCATAGGTTTGGGTCAATGTACGACTAAATTACCAAATGTTAAACAATGTATCGCTGGACTCGGTTTGAATGTCGGACTCGTCGGACTACTGGACCAACTATTGGACGCCGTTGTCGGCTTAGTTGGTGGTCTTCTCGGTGTATTGGGTGGTATACTCGGAGGACTGGGAGCCATATGTCCCATACTATCGGGTTTGCTATCGGCTACTACACAGTCATTGTTGAACAATGTGTTGGGACAGTTGAATGGTCTGCAAAATCAATCAATTTTGGACAAACTTACCGATTGTCTAAAATGTAATTAAACGGACACTTGATTTATTGTATAAATTTTTAAAACTATTTTATCGATTATATAATTTTTTACTAAACTGACTGATTAAATTGTAGTAATGCTTTAGCTTATTTGTACTTTAAATAAAATAAATTTTTAATCCATTATAATTTGAATATTTATATATAATAATTAAAACAAAATTGAGTTAATGTTAATCGTGTAATTAAATGTAATGAGGTGCCAACTAATAGTTAACAATTAATTAAAAATATATTTATATATTTAATATATATTATTATACAGTAGCGCTGAATATGCGGTCAAACGGGACAACTATTTTCGGTCGGCGGACAGTTTTGTCTGTATGTTATCTATAATAAAGTTTTATAGCACTAAATAATTTAAATATTTTAATTGTGATATTAAAAATATTTTATAAATACGATATATTATTTTTTTTATTAACAAAAATTTATTTTATAATATAATCACTATAAATAAATTGAGATTTATTCATTATAAAATCAAATTATAAAATTATATTGTTTAAACAACAAAATATTTAATATAATGTTTTTAAAATTAATAATGCATAATAGCATTAAAATAATAACAATTAATAATCAGCATCATGAAATTATTAATATATTTTAATGATTTAGATATTAAAAAATAATTATTACTAAATCAATAATTAAATTTATTTTACTTTAAATGAAAATTATTTTTAAAATTATTAAAAAGATTAATTAATAATTTAATACTATTAATAAGTAAGTAGTAATTTAATATTGTAAATTAGTAATTTATAAATAATTTGTAATTTGTGATTATTATTTTTAAAGTAATACGATTAAAATTATTCAATATTTTATATAAATATAAAAATTTTATTTAAGTTAATATTAATAATCAATTCAATAAGCATTCATGTTGTTTATATACTGCATTATTACCCATACTGTATAAAAATGTCAATATAGTATTTTTTTAGTATTTATAACATTCAATATTTTAAACATTTTAAAAATGTGAGTTAAAATATTTATTAGTTAATAATAATTACATTATATTAATGTTTTGTATCATAATAAATATATATATATATATTAATATCTATTGTAAATAAATAAGAACTAATTTTGTGATTTAACTTTTAAATCATAATAGATTTTATATTAAAATTATTTTAAACTAAATATAAGAACATATAAGATTATACAATATTTACTGTAATTATTATCAACAATTATATATTAAAATTTTAAAAACATATTTCAATTAAATTAAAAAGTCTGTTGAATTAAAATTAATAAAATTGCTTAACTTTTTTAATATAAAACTAATTAAATAATATTTATGTATTAAATTTATAATAGAGTGACTAATTTAAAAATTTTACATTTAATTAAATGGAATAAATTAGATAATTAAAAAATAAAAAAATAATACAATTTATCATAATATAAGTTAAATATTTATAAATTTATATATATATAATATATAATTATAAAATATTTATATAAATTTTATTTATTATTCATAATATTTAATTTTTAAAATATTTATTTGTAAAATTTAAAATAAAAATTTTAAAGGTTTTACAATTAAATGAATTAGTTAGTCTAATATTTAAGTAATTTTACATTTAAGACTAGTTTAACAAAATATTATATAACTATAAAGAAACTAAAAAATTGCTAAATATTTTATTCAGTAATAAAAATTGATATTTTTTAATAAAAAATAGTATTAATATTTTTTAAACCATAATGTCTACTAAAATGATTGTTTTAATAGTAATTGTTATGACACTAACCATTGTTGTCGATAGATGTGAGGCTATTACACAACAACAGCTATTTAATGATATTTGCGGTAATTAATAGTTATTTAATAATTTTATTAAATATTATTATAATTATATATATATATTAATTAATTTCTCTAATATAGGTTTGAGTAAATGTAAAACAAAACTACCAAACATTAGACAATGTCTCAGTAGTCTAGGTTTGGATATATCATTGCTCAGCAATTTGTACCGACAGTTGGATTCTGTTATCGGTTTAGTTGGCAGTGTTTTGGGTGTCTTGGGTGCCATACTCGGCCAACAGTCAACCATATGTCCAATACTGTCGGGTTTACTGTCAGCTACTACTGAGTCAGCATTGAAAATAGTACTGGATCAGTTAACTAGTTCACAAAATCAGGGACTGCTTGACAAAGTTTCTGCTTGTCTTAGATGTTAATTACTGTAAATGTTATATATATATACAGTATATATAAGTTATATAATATACAGTATATATATATCTATATATTATTTAAAATGTTGTAATTTTTTATCAAAGATTAATAGATATTTTTAAATAAATAAAAGCCTATAAATTATACATTGCATTGTATAATATTACTATATTTTTTAGTTTGTTTGTAGATTTAAAATAGTTATAAATGAAATATAAATAAAAAAGATTTTTTGCATAATGTTTAAAAATATTATTAATATTAAAAATTATTGTTTCTAAAATATAAATGCTAATTGATAGTAATAGTATGATATTTTAGATAAATAAAATAACCGATAATTTTATACAATACAAAAAATAGTTATTATTAAATGTTTTGAAAAATATAAAATATTAGACTGAACTTGTTATATATAGAGCTATTAGATTAAAATAAAAATAATAAAATAAAATTTTTTTATAATGTATAATATAATATTAACTTTATTTACAAAAAAATAGGGTTAATATTAGATACAAATTATAATATGAATTAAAAAGTAAAATATAATTTAACTTGTTTTTACAAACTACATTAATTAAATTTAAAATAACAAAATTCATATAATTAAAAATAAAACTTTGCAATCAATAAATCGAGTGACCGTTTAATTACATTTTAGACAATCGGTAAGTTTGTCCAAAATTGATTGATTTTGCAGACCATTCAACTGTCCCAACACATTGTTCAACAATGACTGTGTAGTAGCCGATAGTAAACCCGATAGTATGGGACATATGGCTCCCAGTCCTCCGAGTATACCACCCAATACACCGAGAAGACTGCCAACTAAGCCGACAACGGCGTCCAACAATTGGTCCAGTAGTCCGACGAGTCCGACATTCAAACCGAGTCCAGCGATACATTGTTTAACATTTGGTAATTTAGTCGTACATTGACCCAAACCTATGATATTTAGACAAAAAAAAATTATATGTTTTAATATTAAATAATTATTAAATTTATTAATCAATAATTACCACAAATATCATTGAGAAGTTGTTGTGGAGTAATGGCATCACAACTATTGATAACAATAGTTAGTGTCATAACAATCACTATTGAAGATATAGTTATTAATTTTGTAGACATTATTCTAGAAAATATTTAAACAATTTTTATTAAATCAAGTTTTACTCAAAATTAATTTTTTTTATAATTTAATCTTTTAATTTTTTTGAATTGTTGAAAGTTTTATTAAATATGGGATGTATTTATACTATTTTATAAACTGTATTTTTTATATACATTTTATAAATTGTCATTGTTTTGTAAAATTATAGTATTATTTGTAAATAACAATATAAATCAAATATTTTGCAAAAGTTGTGTTTCATATTTGTTTATCAATCAATAAAGTTAACTATTTTAAATTTTTATTTGATAAATCTAATCATTATATAATTAATATAATACTGTATCATAATAAATTATTAATAATTTTAGTATATAGGCAAACATAAATAATTAATTTATAATTATTCTACAAATAATCACTAATCATAATACCTGTATACAAATAACAACAATGAATACAACTAATATTTTATACAAATATATTACAGTATAATATATGTATATTTTTGAAAAATACATTTCAACACATTTAGTAATTTTAGTAATAGTAATTATTAATTACATTAGCATGATATTTATTTTTAAGTTATATAGTATTATATAAAAATTCATTTTTATGACATTGTATTTATTAAATAATGATTTTATTTATCAAGTTAAAATTTCAAATAGTTAAATTTATTGCTTGATAAACAATTATGAAACACAACTTTTGCAAAATATTTGATTTATATTGTTATTTACAAAATTGACATTTATTTTTACAAACTATGATAATTTACAGTTTATAAAATAGTATAAATACATACCATATTTAATAAAACTTTCAACAATTCAAAAATATCAATATTAAAAGATTAAAAGATTAAATTATAAAAAAAATAATTTTGAGTAAAACTTGATTTAATAAAAGTTGTTTAAATATTTTCTAGAATAATGTCTACAAAATTAATAACTATATCTTCAATAGTGATTGTTATGACACTTACTATTGTTATCAATAGTTGTGATGCCATTACTCCACAACAACTTCTCAATGATATTTGTGGTAATTATTGATTAATAAATTTAATAATTATTTAATATTAAAACATATTATTTTTTGTCTAAATATGATAGGTTTGGGTCAATGTACGACTAAATTACCAAATGTTAAACAATGTATCGCTGGACTCGGTTTGAATGTCGGACTCGTCGGACTACTGGACCAATTGTTGGACACCGTTGTCGGCTTAGTTGGCAGTCTTCTCGGTGTATTGGGTGGTATACTCGGAGGACTGGGAGCCATATGTCCCATACTATCGGGTTTACTATCGGCTACTACACAATCATTGTTGAACAATGTGTTGGGACAGTTGAATGGTCTTCAAAATCAATCAATTTTGGACAAACTTACCGATTGTCTCAAATGTAATTAAAAGGACACTCGATTTATTAATTGCAAAGTTTTATTTTTATTTTTAATTATATGAATTTTGTTATTTTAAATTAAAGTAATATAATCTGTAAAAACACTTTAAAAACACAAAATATTTTAGTTTTTCACTCATATTATAATTTGTAGTTACCGGTATTATTAAAAGTAAATAAAATTAATATAATATTATGCATTATAAAAAAATATTATTTTATTATTTTGATTTTAATCTTCAAAAGTCAAAATATAATATTTAAAATTTATAAATACCTTAGTCTATAATGTAATTATCAATAATTATAATCTAGATAAATTAATCATATATTTAATTATAACTCATATTTTTAGTTAACATATTTATAATATACATCTATACATATAAATGATTGATAATTTTTCTAAATAAAATTATTATTGATAATTAATTTAAAAAGCATTTATTCTGTTTATATACTCAATTAATAGACATAATGTATAAAATTGTTGATATAGTATTTCTTATGTTTAATACAGAGAATAAAATTTTAGTAATATATTCAATATTTGAAACTTTTTTATATAAAATATTAGTCAAAATGCTTATTAGTAAATAATATTTGATATTAATATTATGTACAGTATCATAATATACATATGATATCAATAAAATTGATCCATTATTAATATTTGTTTTAATAAAAATACTTTTAATGAACTTATTAATAAATATTATAAAGTAATTTGCAAATTATTAGTACTTTATATATATTAATATATTTTGTAAATAAATAAGAAATAATTTTGTGACATTTAAAAGATAATATATTTAATATAATATAACCAAATATAAGCACTGATAATATAAGCATTAGATAATGTATACAATAATTATTAAAAAAATTTAATTATTATATATAATATTATATTGATATTAAAACAGATATGTTTTTAGTTATTGTTAAATCATAACAGTTATATAATTCTACTTAATAATAAATATTTATTATTGTTTTAAATGTTTTTTTTATATTAAATAACAAATCAAATTATTATAAGTTTATAAAAAATGTAAATTATCAACTAAATAAAATTTTTAATATAATTAAATACTTTGAATATAATGCATAAAAATACAAAATTTATTAATTTAAAGATACATATATAAAAAATTTTCATTTAAACATTGAAATAACAAAAAATAAAAATAAAAAAGAAATAATAATTACACTAAACCATAAAAATAATATACAAATTAGACAACTATTAATCAATAGCTTTTTTATATACTATAACTAACATTTTCAATCAATAAATCAAGTGTCCGTTTAATTACATTTGAGACAATCGGTAAGTTTGTCCAAAATTGATTGATTTTGCAGACCATTCAACTGTCCCAACACATTGGTCAACAATGATTGTGTAGTAGCCGATAGCAAACCCGATAGTATAGGACATATGGCTCCCAGTCCTCCGAGTATACCACCCAATACACCGAGAAGACTGCCAACTAAGCCGACAACGGCGTCCAACAGTTGGTCCAGTAGTCCGACGAGTCCGACATTCAAACCGAGTCCAGCGATACATTGTTTAACATTTGGTAATTTAGTCGTACATTGACCCAAACCTATCATATTTAAACAAAAATTATATATTTTTATAAACTATTATTAAATTTATTAATCAATAATTACCACAAATATCATTGAGAAGTTGTTGTGGAGTAATGGCATCACAACTATTGATAACAATAGTTAGTGTCATAACAATCACTATTGAATTTATAGTTATTAATTTTATAGACATTATTCTAGAAAATATTTAAAAACTTTTATTAAATAAAGTTTTACTCAAAATTATTTTTTTTTATAATTTAATGTTTTAATATTAATATTTTAATCAAGTTTTGAAAGTTTTATTAAATATGCGAAGTATTTATACTATATTTTTAATATACATTTTATAAATTGTCATAGTTTTGTCAAAATATATTTCATTTTTGTAAATAACAATATAAATCAAAAATTTTGCAAAAGTTGTTTTTCATATTTGTTTATTAACAATAAATTTAACTATTTGAAATTTTAGCTTGATAAATAAAATTATTATTAAATTTATACAATATCATGAAAAAGTTAGTTTTTAAATAATATTAATAATATTTGTATTAAATGAGTAAACATAAATAATTAATTTTGTAATTTATAATTATTCTACAAATTATTTACATGTTAACAATAATATTGTAATAAATTAACATTTATCATAATATACAAATAACAACAATAATTTTTATATAAACTCTATACATGTATTATAATATTTTTTACAATTATATTTTATTTTTATATATGAATATGTATATTTATAGTAAAAAAATCAACACAATTAGTAATTTTATAATTATTACATTAGCATGATATTTATTTTTTTAAGTTATATAATATTATATAAAAAATTCATTTTTATAATATTATATTAATTAAATAATGATTTTATTTATCAAGTTAAAATTTCAAATAGTTAAATTTATTGCTAAATAAACAATTAATAAAAACAACTTTTGCAAAATTTTTGATTTATATTGTTATTTACAAATAATACATTATTTTGACAAAACTATGACAAATTATAAAATGTTTATAAAAAATACAGTTTATTAAGTAGTATAAATACATCCAATATTTAATAATAAAAAATATCAATATTAAAATATTAACTTATATAAAAAGTTTTAATTTTAGTAAAACTTGATTTAATAAAAGTTTTTTAAATAAATTTATAAAATAATGTCAATAAAATTAATAACCATATCTTCAATAGTGATTGTTATGACACTAACTATTGTTATCAATAGTTGTGATGCCATTACTCCACAACAACTTCTCAATGATATTTGTGGTAATTATTGATTAATAAATTTAATAATTCTTTATAAAAATATATAATTATTTATTATTAAATCATATAATATTTGTCTAAATATCATAGGTTTGGGTCAATGTACGACTAAATTACCAAATGTTAAACAATGTATCGCTGGACTCGGTTTGAATGTCGGACTCGTCGGACTACTGGACCAACTATTGGACGCCGTTGTGGGCTTAGTTGGCAGTCTTCTCGGTGTATTGGGTGGTATACTCGGAGGACTGGGAGCCATATGTCCCATACTATCGGGTTTGCTATCGGCTACTACACAGTCATTGTTGAACAATGTGTTGGGACAGTTGAATGGTCTTCAAAATCAAGCAATTTTGGACAAACTTACCGATTGTCTTAAATGTAATTAAACGGACACTTGATTATTGATTGAAAATGTTAGTTATAGTATATAAAAAAGCTATTGATTAATAGTTGTCTAATTTGTCTATTTTTATAGTTTATTGTAATTATGTTTTCTTTTTTTATTTTTTTTTGTATTTCAATGTTTATATAAAAATCTCTATGTATTTAAATTAATAAATTTTGTGTGTTTTTGCATTATATTCAAAGTATTTAATTTTATTAAATATTTAAAATTTTATTTAGTTAATATTTAACTATTTTTATATACTTATAATAATTAGATTTAATATTTAATACAATAATAAATATTTAATATTAAGTATGATTATATAACTGTAATGGTTTAACAATAACTAAAATGCATATCTGATTTAATATTATTTAAATATTTTAGACGTACAAGAAATGATTATAGTATTATAGGATGTTTTATTTTTTATAATAAATAAGTTTAAAAATATAAAAATATATTAATAATCAGTCATATTATTTATATGATTAACATTATTTTATTATATTGAATCATTTGAATTATATTAATTTTATTGTCATACATAATAATTAGATACTTTAATATTTCATGATTAGTATGTTAATCATTAATTATATTTAGATATTACAATAAATTGTATTATATGAATAAAATTGAGTTATTTAATAAATAACAATATTAAAGTTTTTTAATTTATTATATTAAGTTATTTGATTATTTAACTATTATTTAATATATTTAAATTGATTTAATTAAGCAATTTATATGAAGTTCTACTGATAATGTTTTCCAGCATTCACAAGGTTTTTCATTAATAAATTAAAATTTATAATAATTTAAGTACATTTTATTAAACCTAAAGTAATATATATATATATATATATATATATATAATTTATATTTATTATTTTAACATAATTATAGATTATTAATTAACATGTTTATAACATTAATTATAACCAAATCTATTAGTTAGCCTAGTACATTTATATAATTATAAAATCTAAAAAATGAATACATGAATTTATGTACAATTGTCTGCATTTTGTAAACTATTAAAAATTTTTAAAAAAGGTGATACCTCAATTAATTACATAATTAATATTAACTAAATAACAACATAAAAAATATTAATTATTATTAAAGAATTTTATTTAATTGAATTTTTAAAATGTTATTTATATTCAAATTATAATGCTTTAAAATTTGATTTTTACAATAAAGAAATTTACAAGTGGTTAAAAAATAAACTACAAATGATCTAAAATATTACTACTATCTATTTAATCTTTTTAATTAAAAAATTAAAAATTATTCAATAAATCGAGTGTCCGTTTAATTACATTTTAGACAATCGGTAAGTTTGTCCAAAATTGATTGATTTTGCAGACCATTCAACTGTCCCAACACATTGTTCAACAATGACTGTGTAGTAGCCGATAGCAAACCCGATAGTATGGGACATATGGCTCCCAGTCCTCCGAGTATACCACCCAATACACCGAGAAGACTGCCAACTAAGCCGACAACGGTGTCCAACAATTGGTCCAGTAGTCCGACGAGTCCGACATTCAAACCGAGTCCAGCGATACATTGTTTAACATTTGGTAATTTAGTCGTACATTGACCCAAACCTATGATATTTAGATAAAAAATTATATGTTTTAATATTAAATAATTATTAAATTTATTAATCAATAATTACCACAAATATCATTGAGAAGTTGTTGTGGAGTAATGGCATCACAACTATTGATAACAATAGTTAGTGTCATAACAATCACTATTGAAGAGATAGTATAAAATTTTATTGACAACATTGTATACAATTATTAATCAAATTTATATTATATCAAAAGTTTTAGTCAAAATTTAAAAAAAATTTTATTTTGATATTTAAGTTTGAAATTTCTATAAAATATAAGATGTATTTATACTATTTTTTCACAATAGTTAATATGCAATAATGAATGATATTGTTTTTTTAAGTATTTTATAAATAATTATCGTATTTATAATAATTTTTGTAAATAACAATATAAATCAAAATGTTTTGCAAAAGTTGTTTTAATTATTGTTTATTTAAGAATTAGAAATTTCAACTTTATAAATAAAGTTATAATTTATAATTAATTTTGAATAAATTTTTGCTATATTTTAATACAAAATCTTATTATAATATTGTTATCTGACTTATCATGATTGCAAAATTTTTTATATTACACATTTCAACACATTTAGTAAACAAATATCAATTGTTATTAATTACATTATTATGATATTTATTTTTATAAATTATGTAAAATATATCGATAAACAAATTTAGAGTTTATATAAATACTGTATATATTCTATTCAAAAGTTATAAAATCAATTATTATAAAAGTTAACTAATAAAACAAGTAAGTTAATAAATATAAAATGATTATTTATTATATAATGTATTAGTAGTAATACATTGATTTTGTCTATAGTTTATTAATAATGGCATCTTTGAAAATGATTACTATACTTGCTATTGCAATGGTTACAATTAGCATGGTCAATCAATGTAATGCTATTACCAGTGATGATTTGGTCAACAAAATTTGTGGTAATTATAATAAATAATAATTTTTATTATAAATTTATATTTTAAAACTAATCAATAGGTTTGAGTAAATGTCCAAAAGTGATACCACAAATCAAAACATGTATCAATGGACTCGGTTTAGTCGATACCCTACTCAATGTTCTCGACATTGTGTTGTCTGTACTAAGCGTTCCTTTAGGAGGAACGGTATGTCCGGCAAAGTTTCTACTGTCGGGATTGACTGGTCCTGGAGTTGATGTATCGATTTTGAATCAAATCGCCAGTTGTATCAAATCGTGTTAAACTTAAATATAATAATATTAAAATTTATTTAATAAACCTAATATTATACAATAGATTAGAAAAACAAAATTAAATTAAATTTTTGTTAATTTTATTGTTATATTAAAGTTTATAATAAAAATATTTTTTAAATGAAAATTTTATTATCACTTTTATTATTCACTTTTCTATTTGCACTTATTATTGTTAACTGTGCATGGTAGATTACAACATTCAAATTGTTAAATAAAGTAAATTTTTAAAATTATTTTTTGTTATTTTTTTAAAAAAAAATTTTGTATATTAGATTTTTAAAGTTTTTATTTAATTTTGTTTAATGTAAATTACATTATATTTTAATATAATTATTACTATTTCTATTATATATTGAATAATTTACAAAAAATAACTGTTTGTATCTACATTAGATAATTTTTATCAAAACAATTTTATCTAATATTTATTACTAAAACAGTTATTTAAATATATTCAAACTAAACATTTGTAATTGATAATTATTTGTTGGCAACAATTATGGATTTAAAAAGATCACAATTTTTATAATTAATATAAAAAATGTAATTTTATCAAATTTAATAATTTTAATAAATTAAGTAATTAGTATTTCTATAATTTTAGAAACATAATTAATTTTAAAGATTTTTATTAAGTTAATTTACAAATACTGTATTTATTTTTGACTATTTTTGTAATATTATATACTACATATACATTTTTAATAAATTAAATTAATAAAATTAATTTTAAATCATTATATAAAATCTGTAATAAATCTAAATTTTTAGATATATTTAAGTTATTTTTTGATTTTAATAAAAATTAGTTTAAATCAATATTATGGTTATTTACATAATTTACATAATATGACATTTTTTCATTTCATTTGTTTGATTTTCACATTTATCAACAAATTCATTGTTTAATAATTTTTGTTTATGTATTTTGCCCAACAAATCAAAAAATAACTGCAAAAAAATAATCAATTATTTACTATTATTAGGATATTATTAGGATATTATTAGGATATTATTAGGATATTACTAAAATACTGGACATTAATTAAATAATTAGTATATTAATACAATTTTGATGACAAACCCGATCACAACTGTCCCTTGATTTAGCCGATGTCTCAATGTATGGCACTTTCCAATTGTTGGCCAAACTGTTTGCCTCATCAATACTAACACATCGTTTGTTATCCAAGTGTGCATTAGTACCGACCAAAACAATAGACACGTTATCACTAGTATTAATGTTATTGTTTTTTATACGCAATATATGATCTCTTTGAAAATAATCAACAAAAAATAATAGTGAATTAATTAATTAATTAATTAATTATTAAAAGATTTCATGAGTTAGTTTTTTATTTTTTAAAAAATTAACATAACTTATATGTACCAGTTTCTATAATAAATTATTGATAATTTTAGAAAATTATATTTAATATTAATTCTTAAAACTTTACATTTATGTAATTTAATTTAATATTTTTTTTATAATTTACTCAATTGTTATGATATACTATACATAGACAACAAATAAATACCTAAATTCATTGACTGCTAGAAAACTTTGTCGATCAATGATAGAGAACACACATAGAAAACCGTCGGCCGACCGGAAATAGTTGTCCCGTTTGGCCGTATAGTCATCGCTACCGATGACTACTATTTCAATATAGGCCTCTTTGTTATCGATGACAACCCTTTTGCGATATGAGTCGGTTATTGTTGGTTCATAGCCAGTGACATACTAATTAATTTTAAAATATAAATAAATTTGTTTTTTTTGTATAAATAAATGATAATTAATTTGGTTAATCAAAAATATTTTACAGTATATGTAATGTACTTTTAAAAATTTATTGGATTGAATATTTCTAAAAAAATGTTTTACAAACAATAATAGTACAGTAATAAATAAATCTAAAAATATTTATAAAAATATTACCAAGCAATAAAATTTTATAAATATAAACTGTAAATTTTAATAAAATAACAATTATTTTCTTTAAATTAAACTATTTTTATATTATTATTGGCCAAGTAATTTCCAAATTCAGTTGTCAACTGTTTTACAGATTTTTTTTAAAAAAATTATTTATTTAATAGTTGAGTAATACAATAGATTTTACAACTTTATAATTAAGAAAATTGTTTGTTTTTTTTGTCAATTTATATTAATTAAAAATTTCTAATTTTCACAAATTAAATAATAATAATATTATTGTACATTATAATTATAAACTAAATTTATTTTAATACTCGACTACTATTAATTCTAATAAATATTTTAAATCAATTAATATTAGGGAAAAAACTTTTAAATAACTTTTTTTTTTGTCACATACCTGATCATATGTAAAATGTATAGCCAATGATGATTTACCGGCACTACTGGTGCCGACAATTAAAATTTTATAAGCTATAGGAGCTTGTATTGTTGGACGGGCCATTTTACTTATTTATTATAACTAAATCTTTATTATTTATAAACTTAATTTTATTTTTAAAAAATTACTTATTATATATATATACATACTGTATACAAAATGTATAAAATTAATTAATTAATTTTAACGACTACTACATTTTATATTAACAAAAAATGCAACAATTTTACAAATTACTAATATAGACATTGATTGAAACATAAATATATTTGAAGCTAATTATGTTTGATAATAATAAATTTTTATATTATAATTTTTTTGCTGATATTTATTTATAAATGATAAGATTAAATTTATTGTGTGCAAATTAAGTAAATATTAACAATGAATAATGTTAATTTTTAATTTATATAATAAAATATTTTCTTTAATAGTATCAATTATATTAACATTTTTTAATTTTTATATGAACTTTATTTAAATCATTTTATAATAATATAATTTAAAATAAATTAAAATTATAAATATATATATTAAAAACTGTAATTAAACATATTGGTATATTACTACAAATATTAATTTAAAATCTTAATTGATTTTAAAATAAAATAATATAATTAAATTAAACAAAAATATTTTTCAATTTCCTCACATTGCACATCAATGATTCACTAACAATGCATCAAGTAAAATTTTATATCAGTAAAAATAACTATAAATTAATTAGATTATATTGATAAATAATAATAATAAATCAATCAAACAAACTATATAGTTATAAATATGTTTATTGTATTTACAATAATAGATAAAATATATAAATAATATTAAGAAAATTAATATATAAAATAATAAATTTATATAATTTTTAATGTCATCGTTAACTTATCTTTTAATTACAAGTAATTTATTTAAATTAAATATACTGTACTTATCAAACATTTAAGTTTTTTTTTATTTTAATACAGCAGTAGCTACTGTATATAAATTAAATAAATTATATTTTTTAATTTTAATAATTTGTTAATTAACACAATTAAAAATTATTATAATTAAATTTATTTTTAAAAAACAATTGACGATATAATTTTTATTTATCTTAAATAAATACAAACATAAAATAATACAGTATATAATTATGTTAATGATAACTGTATATATATTTTTAAAAATATAATTTAATAAAATGGTTTGTGATCTATTTTGCTAGAATTTATTAAATATAAATATAATTAAATGTAAAAAATTATGTATTTTTTTAATAAAATATATTAATTTTTTTATAAATATTATTTCTAGTTTTTAATTTTGGATTTGTGTTGTTATAGTTGTTGTTGATATCCAGTAAAATCTATACTAAAGTATAATACACTTTCTTTTTTTGTTTTTAGCTTTTTTCGGTCCATTACTCGTCTCTTTGTCCGATAGTTTTTGTTTTTGAATTTCGCGCATCAAATCAAAAAATACCTGTAAATAGTATAGAAAATAATTAATATATTTAAAAAAAAACAAAAATTAATTAATTAATATACTGTAAAAAAAATTTTATGTTTTATTTTGAAAAATTTCAGTTCACATACCCGGTCAACATTGAGCCTTGTTTTGGCCGACGTCTCAATGTATGGCACTTTCCATCCGTTGGCCAAACGGTGTGCCTCATCGACACTCACGCGCCGTCTTTCATCTAAGTCTGCTTTATTGCCGACCAAAATAAACGGCACGTTATCATCGCCTTTCACGCGCAATATTTGCTCTCTGAAGTAAAAACAAACAAAAACATTAAGAGATATATAAATATATAAATGATTTTTTTTAATATTTATAATAATAATAATAATGATTATTATTATCACCAAAAAAATCATAAATACCTGAACTCATTGACCGAACCAAAGCTTTCGTGTTCAGTGATTGAGAAAACACATAGAAATCCTTCGCCCGATCGGAAATAGTTGTCCCGAATGGCCGCGTAGTCCTCTTGGCCGGCAGTGTCCAGTATATCGATCTGTACCTCTTCGTTGTCGAGGATAACCTTTTTCCGATAGGAATCGGCTTTAGTTGGCTCATAGTCTTCGACAAACTGTACAGAAAAACAGACAAACAGAAAAAAAATATTTTGAAAAAACATTTAAAATATATTTTTTTAATAATATTTAATAACTTGTTTTTATTTGATAATAAACTTAATAATTTTTTTTTAATTGTAATTACTATTTAATTAATTTTTAAAAATTTTATACACTCATTAAATTATTTTGTTATATTCTAATCGGTATAATTATTAAATTATAAAAACAAAATTTAATAAATGTATGATATTTTTTTGTGGAATTGAAAATTAAAAAAACAAGTTTTTAATTTTTATTGAAATAGTCACAAACATTTTCGTGTAAATTGTATTTTCATACACTATATAACTATTAATAAAAATTTAATGTAACTAAAATTATCCTATTATAAGCCCAGATATGCTTGTATTTATTAAATATTTTCTCAACATTAATTTTAGTTACAAATTGTAAAATTTTTTACAGTACTTAGATTAATGCTATATTGTGTTATTGTTATTACACACAAATTATACAATTTTAAATATTATATGGCATTAAAATTGATTACAATTCAAAAAAAGATTATCTTTTAAAAAAATTAATAAAATTATCTATTGTAAATTTAAAAGTTATATGTGTTTCAATTATGTTTAGTCAAAATTAATTAAATAAACCACATTTCATAGTATTTAATGCATTCATCATCATTATATTAGATTATTATTTTTTGATACAATATACTGTATAATATAACACATACTGTGTGTTGTAATATAAATTATTTGTAAACTTTCTCATAGGAAATCAAAATAATAATAAAAAAAAAATAAAATAAAAATCATTTGTAATGTAATCAGAAAATAATGAAAATGTAAAAATAAATTCATTTAATAATACATTTGATTTAAATTTGTGTAACAAAAATAGTAACGATATATTAATGTAATTTGTAATTTATAACAAAATTTAATTTTAGTTTTTTTTATAAATATATAATAATGCAAACTAATTAATTTTTATGTCAAGTGTAACTAGTATATTAAAATTTTTAATTAAATAAATACATATTAATCTCTAGTTTTTTTTTATTATTTTTTGCTTTAGTTTTGTTTTTAAGCTATTTGCTTAATGCATAATAATAAGTTTAAATTTTTTGTTACTTTATAAAAATAGCATTTAATAATGTATGATAAAATTATTATTATTATTATGTTATTTAGGTTATACACAACTTATCCCATAATTTTTTTTCTTAAATGATTTTATACAAATTATTTTGTATACAATATATACAGCATAAGTGCCTAATATTTAGATAGATTTTTTTTGGTCACAAATACAATATTAATACAATCAAAACTATGTATATCAGTCATAACTGACATTAATATTTCACAAAAAAAATATATTATATTCAAGTTTGTAAATGCAAATATTTAAATTAAAATATAGTTATAAGAAATTACATTTTATTTTTTTTCAATAAAATTATTTATTCAAAATATTGTAATATTTCATTGAATAAAAATTATTTTTGTTTGTTGTAAACCAAATATTGTGTTTTATAATTATATATTTTTTCTGTAATTTTCCCACACATGTTATTATTATTAAAATCTAAATGTAAATAATTTTTTTTGAAAATATTTTAGTAAGTTTTTTCTAAAGGTAACATTATGTTTAAGAAATTTTGTGTACATTATTATTATTATTAAGAAATATTATTATAATATTAAAAATAAATAAAATATATTTGCATATTATCATTATAATTATCATTAATCGTATTACAATTTTTTGATGTATATTTAGCATTTAAACCCCATAATTATGAGTAACAATACTTATTATCGTTAATAATATAAATTATTATAGTATTTAAAGAAAAATAAACATAAAAACCATATGTTATATACAAATACTTATATCAAAAGTTATATTAATCAGAGTATAAAAGCCATTTGGGATGACATTTATGGGTTGTGTTCACTAAAAATAGTTAGTCCTCTGAAAAGTCATTTTCAAATTCAAAAATTTCAATAGATTTTTAAATTAATGATATAATAAATATAAAATTTTATATTATTATCTCTTAAATCAGTCATTAACAGTACATTTGACATTTAAAATTTTATTTATAAAAATATACAACTAAAATGATGTTTAGTCTTATATTTGACTTAAATATTTGTTAATTTATAAATTTAACAAAAAAAAATAAATTTTTGATATTTTAAATTATCTTTAAAATAATAAAAGTATATATCTAAACATTAAGCTATTTTACTGTATATATTAATTTTAAAACAAAATAAGTCATATTTTTATACTGTTTTTTACATATAAATATATTTAATTTTATATTAATCAGAATTACTTATGTATTATATAATTAATATTAAAATATTTACTTTTTTAAAAAATATATTTAAACCATAAAACTATAACAGAATATAAATAACTAATAACTCAATTGTTCCACAATTTTTTTTTATTATATGCTATTAATATAATATAATATACTAGTACAGTATAATGGTGTTATGTAAAACTATAATTATTTACCTTGATAAACTTATTAAAAATACATTTATCATTTGTTTATTATATAAACGTTATAGTATTTACACGCATGGCATGAGGTACATGATTAGCAAGTTATATAACTTTTTTAAAAAAACTTAAATACAAATATACTGTAAGAGTATATTATGAAACCCATAGTCTATGGTATAGATTATATATGATTTAAATTTTGAATGGCTATTGAATATATACTGTATATAAATTATATATAGTTTGTTGCGATTGTGTTTTGCGATTGTATTGTATTTCTGTTGGTTATTATGTAATTATTTTTGAATTTAGTTTTTTTTATTTAGTAATAAAACTAAAATTTCCAGACAAAGGCCACTAGATTTTAATCACTTTCAAGTCGAGAGAGAGAGAGAGAGAGAGAGAGAGATAAATAGAGTATTAGTCATACAAATAAAGTTTTGTTGTGTTATTATTTCATAAATAACATACTAATAATATGATTCATATTATGGATATTATTGTTATTATTATTATTATTATTATTATTAGTGATATTTTGATAAATGTCTAGTGAGGTTATGGTAACATAAAGATTATATGATATGATAAGACACACACACATACATACATACAAATCACAAGTGTTATTGACTGTTATGATACATATACCTGATGTACCTGTATATACAAAATACAATGAGTGTCTAAAAAATTGTTTTTACGCTATTCATGTTTTTTTTGTTAATGTTTGATTGTTAATAATTATTTTATTAGTATAAAATAAAAATTAATAAAATAATGCTGATACTACTACTACTACTACTATTTGCTATTTAAATTAAAATTAAACATGACAAGTATTATTTATTGTATATTGTTTTTGTTTAATAGTAAAAAAAATTTAGTTTCAACAAAAATATATGAAACTAATAAATGAAAATATAACATTGAAATATGCATTTTTTATGATAATTAGCATTTAAAATACTGTATATTTCAAAAATTATAGTAAATTGAATATTTTATATATTTAAATAATTACTTTAAGAAAATACAATATTATATAACAATTGATAATTATTAGTTTTATGATTATGATAATTATATATTTATTATTTTGTTGCCATTTTTAGGAAACAATATCTTATAAGAAAAAAACAAAATTAAAGTTACTATTTTTATATAATCAATAGTCAACCATGGTAACAATAAGTATAATATTGTAATAATAATAATAACATAAACACTATTACTAGAAAAAATTATTAAATATTTGCGATAAAGTTTTTTTTATCAAATTCACAGCTCAGTGAGTCATACATAATAATAATAATAATAATAATAATAATAATAATAATAATAATAATAATAATAATAATAATTAAAACAATAGTCAAACCACTATTATTACTACTACTACAATATAATTAAATTTTTATTTGTAACAACAAACCCACATATCAATATAAAAATAACACCCTCACTATAATATACAGTATATATATATATACTGGTATATAATATTACCTCAAAAAAGTAGTAATTATTATAATAGAAAAAATTCAATTATAATACAAAAATTTTCGATTTATATTTAAAAATATTGTCAGAAAAACACTTAATAATAGTAACTATAATAATAATAATGACAAAAATTATATTAAATAGTACAGTATATAATATATAATATACTATATATACAATACTGTATAAAACATTATTGTTTCTAATAGAAAAACTAAACAATATTTTTTTTTATAGTCAATCAATCAATTTTTAGTGTCAATCTATTGTTTGAGTAAATTATCGGATTTTGCACAAACAGACACTGATTAAATAAATATATTTAAAAAAAATAAATTGTTTAATTTAAACTACAACTACTAGTGCCAGCACACATACCTCGTCATACATGAACTGTAATGTTAGGGCCGATTTGCCGACACCGCCACTGCCCACCATAATTACTTTATGTAATGGTGTAGTAGTAGTAGTAGTGGTAGTTGTTGTCAGTTGTTTATTATTTAAGGTCATATTATTGGTGGCCATCGTATTGTTGGTCATCGACGACGGTGTACCGTAACGATCGGCTTCGGTAGGCTCTGAACTGTCGCTTTTGGTGAATAATCTATATATATATATATTGTATATGTTTTTAAAAATAAATAAATTAAAAAATATATTATTTAAAAACTTAAATAAAATGCATTTTTCGTTACTAATTAGTTTAAAAAATTAATGATTTTATAACTATTTAATCATCATTTATTTAATGATGCAAAATTTTTATTTATTGTTTGTATTTATTTATTTTTTAAAACATCAGTAATTATATTTAAATTGCTATTAATACTCTCTCTGTGTGTGTATGTATGTAACGTTACGCAAATATTATTAATATTTTTTTCAAAAAAAAGTTTAAATATATATTGTATTTATTCATAACGTTATCAAACAATTTATCTAAATTAATAAACATCAGTTTTGTATAATGTATTATTTTGCTTATTTATTATATACTCTAAAAGTACATTATGTTATTAATAATTATTTACTACAGTATATCTATTATAAAACATCAAAAAATAAATTTAATTTTTAAAATATTAAACTAAAATAATCAAATTAGACCTTGTGGCAAGTTGTCTGGCCCGACGATATAAACGGGACGCGTGATCCCGGACTTGATCACGCATTTTCTTAAAATCACTCATAATTTTTTAAGATTATAATATTTATTAAATTTAAGTTTTTATGAGACTCACAAATAAACACACTTAAAGACACACAGCAACAAAAAATAGACACAAAATTATTTATAGATTTTAAAATTAATTATATAATAGTTGTCAATTTTTTAACACAACATTTATGTTGTTTTGATAATAATAAATAAATATTGTATGTTATTTAATTTTTACACATATATATCAAAATAATTTTTTCCATATATATATATTACAATAATAATAACTAATTGTATAAATAATTTGTAGTTTAGATTTTAGGTTTGCAAAAAAAATTAATATATTAGTAAATAACTAGAATTTTATATTATTATTATTATTATCCATATAACAGTTAATGGGATACAGTTATGTCATATATAAATTTTAACAAGTATTACATAAAACGTGGACACATATAGTGAATCATCAGACATATATATATATCAGTCAGGGCTAGTTATAAATACCGGTGCTCATCGTTTACTATATTGATGACACCACACATGTAATAAAAACAGGTATGAAATTAAGTAAAAAAAAATTTATATAAAGTATATGTTTTTAGATGTATTGTGTTTGGTCGCACTTTAAAATAATATCAAACAACACATTAAAAACGGATGTCTTTTTTTTAATTTTAGTTACACTAATATAAGTTAAAAAACAATTATTGTTATTATTATTATTATAACAATTAAGTGTTGTCTTATTTTATTATTATTATTATCATCATTATAAGGATATAATACTAGTATAAAGTAATAGTAGTCTAGTATACATGCGTTAAGATAAGTGGATAAAAAATTACAGAAAAAAGTTGTGACAATAAAAATGTTTGTATATATATATATATATATATATACTGTATATCTATACTCTATAAAAAAAACTTTATCGATTTGCACAGGTAGCTCATAAATACATTATTACTAAAGAGGCACATGTATTATCATCAATGTATTATCAATGATAAAGTAAAAAAAACTATAAAATTATACGACAAAACACTTTTCAAATAAAGAGAGTAATCCTTTTTTTTTTGATGGTATTGTTGTTATAGTTGTATAGAAAACTATTCAAACAAATCGATTGACAAAATCTTTTTTGTTAACAAAATAATATCAAATCAACAGTTAGTTAAAAATCATAATAAAAAGACTGTTTTTTTATTATACAGTACATCACATAGTAATGAAAAAATTTATTTATTTATTTTTTGTAATTTTAAAATATATATATATATTTTTGCAACAATTCAGTGATTGATTCAATCGGCCGACAACTATCGGGTTGACAACATAGGACATACAACCATCACTACTACTACTACTACTACTACTACACATACATGAGCTGAACAACAACAACAAAAAAGTCAACTAAAAATATTAATAATTTATATAAAATAATTTTTCAGCACTTGTATGAGCCCACAGTGCTATGAATGAGTAGTTGTGTGTGAGAGAGAGGGCCAACAGTTATATAACATTTCCAAACTTATGAAACATATCTGTGTTTTAAAAAATGCTAGAGTTTTAGACATTCAAACCGTGTGAATGTATTTAAGCGACTGAACGCCTGGCAAATGGGTAAACACATAGAGAAGCTGAGAGAGAGAGAGAGAGAGAGAGAGAGAGAGAAGAGAGAGCGGGTGAGTGAGTATGTGTTTTGTGTTAGCACAGGAATGTTAGCTTAACCATCGGCTAAATATACTGTACTTACAGTACATTAAAACATATACTTACAAAACAGGTTAGCTATCTATCAGTGGAGAGAGAGAGAGAGAGAGAGAGCCGACAGTTACGTAACTATTCTAACGCACAGTCAGTCACACTCACATACTCTTGTATCTGCTATACCCCCGAGTAATGCCATACCAGCTCACTATCAACTGAAATACATATACTATAAAATCACTTATTATGCCAACAACTGGTTGATTGTGTTGTCTATTATCGTTAGCAATATGTTGCCAAAGTTATTGAGAAACTAATGTTAGTATTATTTTTATTTTTATATATTTACTCTCTCTCTCTCTCTCTCTCTCTCTCTCTCTCTCTCTCTCACTCACTCACTCACTCACTCACTCACTCATTCATTCACTTACTCAATCACAAAATAATAATAAATGTAAGAAAATAAGAAAATAGCATTTGAAATAAAAATATATATAAATATGTAATTTAATCATAATATTATTTATATCATTTTAAAAAAAATAATAATTCTATAATAAAATTAAAAATATAATTTGCTATTAACATTATTATATAAAATAACTTATATATAAAATGTTATATTTCTATTTTCATATAAGTTAACAATAATAATAATACATTAAATACAACTAAATAAATAGCAAAAATAAATTAGCTTAGTTTATTTATACACTTTTTATATTATTATATAATATATTATCTATCAATTGCTACAATTTAAAGGGATAGGCAAACTGTGTGGTGAGGGTGTTATGTATAGAAACAAAATTAGGTGTGTGTGCGTGCCTTATGTGTATTTATTTGATATATAATTTTACTTATTTTTTTTTAATATGAAATACAGGAAATGTAGTGTGAAATTATTTTTAAAATTATAAATATTTAAAAGTTTTTATAAAAAAAGAAATCATTGACATTTAATTTTTAATTTAATTGCAAAAAATGTTTGTTTGCATTTGAAATTTTTATTATAAACAGCTAAAAATAGCACTATTATATATTTTTTTATAAATTTTTATGTAAAAATATAAATTATATATAGAGTATATATATATATATATATATATATATATATATATATATATATATATATATATTAGTATTTTTATTACAGGTTTGTCATATGTTTATCTCACAGATTAATAATAGTTGAAATTTAAATAAAATTTTATAGTTATTTTTAACATCAATATCTTAAAGCAATAGTATAAACATTTTGATGTGAAAATAAATTAGTTTTATTTATTCATTATTTAGTGAATAGATTTTTCTATAGTTAAGTATAATAGCAATGTTTATAAAAAAATTAACTATTAAATGTATTAAACAATATATATAGTGTTGTGGTGTGGTATTGTTTAGTTCCAGAGGAATGTCTATTTAGACAATTGATGTCCAAATAGACCGGTCGTACTTAGCGTGGGTCGGTATGAGACCTGTACTTCCGTCTAATCAATACCAAACACTAGTAGATATGTGTCGGTATGAGACAGATATCCACTATAAGATCACCAGTAAGTCGTTGTGAGACCAACAGGTGATATGAGATCCGATCTGCAGTTGTGGTCCAAAGGCTAGGCTTAGGAGTGATCCTAATCTCCGATGTCTTCTCCTACAGTGAGTGGTTGGCCAGCGAACGGTATGTCTGTAGATATCAGTGGACTGAATGGTCAGACCGATCACTGATATGTATGAATGATATGAAGACACGATTGATAACAAATAACAAGTTTATTGTAAAACAATGGATCAAATGGTGATACAAATGGTAAGTATTTAAGAGGACACGTGGAGTGTATGTGTGAGACAGGTATAGGTGCTGAGGCTTGGCTCAGGTATTAGTAGCAGTAATGACTGGCAGCGATGTGCACAGTAAGGGAGTATGAGAAGCACTGACTGAGAGGCAGTGAAACACTGGAGTGTATGTACAGTGGATAGGGTTTATATAGAGAGGTATGTATGGCGGGAGATACAGGTATTGGTTGGTTTGTATAGTAGATAATCCCTTACCAGGATACTGACCGGTCATTGAGGAGCCACTGGATGTGGTCAATGACAGGCAGTTCCAGGAAAGGTAGGTATTGAAAGGTCAATGATAATGATATGTGTAAATATAAGACAATAAAATGTACTAAAAATAAGATACAGTATAAAATAAATAACAAAAAGATTATAAAATTAAAGATAATAGACATTGATGTCTATGTGTGCAACATTCCCCGGCGCTTTAAGACTGGTCGCGGAGGATAGATGTGGCCACAGATGTCCGACGCGGACCAGGAGATCGGGTTCGACGGTGCGATGATTGCGTCGATCGGTCCGGTATTGAATTAGGCGGCTGTTTGTTGAACATCTGTTTGTAGGTACGGTTGGAGTGGTTGTCCGGAGTAGAGTTGACGGTAGGTTGTCGTGTGGTAGGTCTGGATTTGCGGATATTATCGAACATCTCTTTGAAAGTTGAAGAAGGCTTTAGACGGGTGACAGCTGGAGGAGTAGGGATCGGTCCAGAGTCTGATGGTTGAGATGTTTGGATGGCTGGAGGTTCACATAGGAATTGGTCGGCGGTAGTCATACGACAAGCGGCATTTGTATCGGCTTTAGAGTTTACCAAAGTTACCGGTACAGCGGTAGTACTCACGCTTACCTGTGTGAGAGCACTGGGCGTCTCAATAACTCGGCTGGCTTGTGGCGCCTGTTGATGTGACTGACGATACTGACGGTGTCGTGTTGGCTGATTGGCGGCCAATCCTATGCGGGGCGAAGTAGTAGAAATGGTGGACTGTTGATTATTTTGATTCAATGGGCTGACCGGTCGCCGGTTTGGATGAATAGGTAGGCGACTGCTAATGGCTTGGCATTGCTGACCGGTCAGCGGTTGTGATGATCTGAATATTGCTTTAGTATTTTTGGTGTCGATAAGGATGTCGTAGAGTCCAAGAGAGCGGAGGGATAGGAGTAGAGTGTACTGAAAGCCAGGCAGTACTTGTGCTGTTACGGTGCGCGGCATCCTATTCATGGTGAGCGTAAAGGTAACCTCACCTAAAGTGTGGACAGATCCACGGGCCAATGAGATGGTCATCGACTTGCGTGTGTCGATGCGGAGACGGAGGTGCTTTGCTACATGTAGTGGCATCAAGTCGACGGTGGAACCGGGATCTGCGAGAGCGGATAATTCGAAGCGTCCGATGCGCCCAGGAATCAGTATCATGTCTTGCGCTACGACATGAGTAGCCATTGCTTGCGGACGGATGAAATGGTTTGTAGGACCGGTCACTTCGGAGGTGTGACCGTTGTTGTCATTGTTGGGCTGTCTGTCATATGAAGAGTCGGATGATTTGTGTGGACAGTCTTTGTGATAATGCCATGAAGTAAGTCCTTTGTCGCGGCATATACGACATGAATATGGCGGACGTTTGTCTGAGCGGTTGTTGTTGTCCTGATTTGGTTTGCTATGCTTTTTGTTGGACCGGTCGCCTCTGTTGTCGGATGTGTAGTGAGACGATCCTTGCGGCCGGTGCTGTCTGTTATGTCGTTGTTTGTCGGCTTCAATATCTTGAGCCATCTCGAGCCATAAGCTCGGAGTCTGGAAGCGGCGGCCATAGAAGTATTCACGGTATTCGGGAAGTAGGCCTTCTGTAAGTAGGTTAGCGCGTTGGCTGTCCGTATAGTTGGTTAGGCGGCGGAGGATTTCCATTTTGCCATCGAAGTAGGTGCGGATGGTTTCAGTTCTTTGTTGACGTCGTCGAGTTGCGGCTACTTCTGGAGGTATATCTGAATGGGTGTATCGACCGGTCAAGAGGTCCTTGACTTCGGTCCAAGTGATGGATAGATTGGTGAGTATATCTGATCCATAGTAGTTGGCGACGTCTCCTTCGAGGAATTCAACGATTTTAATAAGTTTGTTGTCGTCGGATAGATGAGTGAATACACGCTCGAAGATCTGGAGGAATGCTTCTATACGGAGTGGTGTGTCTTTAGAGCCATTATACTTCGGTATCTTTACAGTAATGAGTTGCGGAGCTGTTGTGCCATTGGAAGTGCTGAGAGCGGTTGGACCGGTCAGGTCAGCATTGTTTGTGTTGTCTCCGCATTGAGACATTTCTTCGGACTCAGTGGTTGTCTCGTCAGATATGTTGTCTTGAAGTAGATATGATGTCCCGTGTCTTGTTAAGCCAGAGATAATAGGAGTGGACATCAATACGCGTAGATAGGGATCTATTGTTGATCGGTGCCGACTGCGCCAATTTGTTGTGGTGTGGTATTGTTTAGTTCCAGAGGAATGTCTATTTAGACAATTGATGTCCAAATAGACCGGTCGTACTTAGCGTGGGTCGGTATGAGACCTGTACTTCCGTCTAATCAATACCAAACACTAGTAGATATGTGTCGGTATGAGACAGATATCCACTATAAGATCACCAGTAAGTCGTTGTGAGACCAACAGGTGATATGAGATCCGATCTGCAGTTGTGGTCCAAAGGCTAGGCTTAGGAGTGATCCTAATCTCCGATGTCTTCTCCTACAGTGAGTGGTTGGCCAGCGAACGGTATGTCTGTAGATATCAGTGGACTGAATGGTCAGACCGATCACTGATATGTATGAATGATATGAAGACACGATTGATAACAAATAACAAGTTTATTGTAAAACAATGGATCAAATGGTGATACAAATGGTAAGTATTTAAGAGGACACGTGGAGTGTATGTGTGAGACAGGTATAGGTGCTGAGGCTTGGCTCAGGTATTAGTAGCAGTAATGACTGGCAGCGATGTGCACAGTAAGGGAGTATGAGAAGCACTGACTGAGAGGCAGTGAAACACTGGAGTGTATGTACAGTGGATAGGGTTTATATAGAGAGGTATGTATGGCGGGAGATACAGGTATTGGTTGGTTTGTATAGTAGATAATCCCTTACCAGGATACTGACCGGTCATTGAGGAGCCACTGGATGTGGTCAATGACAGGCAGTTCCAGGAAAGGTAGGTATTGAAAGGTCAATGATAATGATATGTGTAAATATAAGACAATAAAATGTACTAAAAATAAGATACAGTATAAAATAAATAACAAAAAGATTATAAAATTAAAGATAATAGACATTGATGTCTATGTGTGCAACAATAGAAAATAAAAAGTAAAACATTTAGCACTTTATAGACAATTAACACTTTTAAATGACACACAAAACTCAATATTAAACAATAATATAGAAAAACGCCTTATATTATCATTTATCACAAATAATACAATAATAATCATAATAATAATAACAATAATAACAATACTGAATAACATAATAATAAAAATATATTATTTGATGAATAAAAACAAATAATTATAATAATTTACATCATAAGCAATGTTTAAATAAAATATAAAAAACCAATTATTACATTGTATTATATTATGAAATAAAATAATAATAGAATAAATATTTAATTAATTATAATCTAAAACTTTAATTTATTTTTACTCTTATATTACTTCAATAAACATCATTACAATATATTGAGTTATTATTACCCATACTATTATTATTATTATCAATTATAATTAAAAAATATATTATATTTTAATATTAATATTACTTTTATTTTTTTCCCAATTTGAATATTATTAGTTTCAAATCGTAAATGAGAAAAATCTTTAGAAATTTATTTAATTTATTTTTATAATACTTTTTAACAATTATAATGATAATAACAATAAAATAAATTACTAAATAATTATAATATTTATTATTTATTTTTAATAAATTTACATAATAATAGTATATAAATATTAATTTTATTTAAATTAAAATTCAATTAATTGAGATTTCTACATGTATTATAATAATAATTACTAATAATAAGATAAAGTAATTAGTTTTTAATTTCAAATAAACTTTATATAATGGTTTAAACGTAACATATTTTTTAAAATCAAGTCTATATATATATATATATAATATTTAATATTCAAAAAGAAACTTACCTAGTTTATTCAATTAGATAACCTATTAATCATACACAAATTATTGTATATAAATTAATTTTTTTTATTAACAATAATGATTGAAATATACACGTTTTATGAAAATACAATACACAATGTTTTTTATACTACAAAAAATATATATATCAATAACACATTATAATATATGATTAAATGATTGATTATAATAATAATATGCAACTTTGTATTAAATTAACTTAATTCACAAACAAATTTAATAATGAAAATAAAAAATATATTTATATTGTATTTCTAATTCAATTATATTTACAATTATTAATTTATTTTTTAAATAAACTAAATGATGTCAAATTATTCACAACAAAATTAATTTAATATGAGAAATATTATGGCAAATGTTATTTAAAATTAACAATAAAAATCTAATTGTTATAAAATAAAATGAAATTTATATACATTTGTGAATATAATTTATAATCAATTTATATTTAATTATGACCAGTTAAATCAATTTACAAGATCATTAACTGTTAAACTAATAAATTGTCTTAAAAATTTTTAATAACTAACTTTAACTAAAAAAAATAATTAAATATAATATAATAATAATTATTAAATAGTGAGTAAATTTAAATTATTATAATTGATTAATTTTATTAAATAATAAACATAATTATACAATCATTATATTGAGAATCTATTTGATTTTTTTAACCATATCTAAGCAATTTAATTTTTATAAATATTGTAGTATTATAAATAATAATAATAATAATAATAGTTATACAAATAATCATAAAAAATAAATGTCAGATAATATAATTAATAATTTATTTTATTGCAAACACGCCTACTAAATAATCTACATTATGGTTTTATATTACATTATTTTATTTACTATATGTACACATAATAAATATTTGATTTATAAAAATTGAATAAATATTATAATAGTATCCGGTTTAATTTTATTCCTTATATATATCATATAATAATAATAATAATAATAATAATAATATATATACTAATATAAACATTTCTATCAGTTTTATGAGTAAAAATATAAAACTTTATATATATTATATATAAATACCAAAAAATATGTGTTATAATTATTAGAAATAATTATATAAAATATTATTTTTTTTAATTTAATCAATAAATATTAGTTTAAAAAAATTATTAGTATTAATATATGTATATTACAGTACATTAATTAATAAAAAAAAATTAATTCATAATATTTTAGTGATATTTTTTAATGAGCTAAACAAGTAAAAAAAATACTGTATTTAAAAAAATAAAATTTAAAAAAAATATTCATATAAATTTTCCACAGTACATTTTAGTCAAATAAAATAAAATAAACTATTGTATTTTATAAATTAATTAGACAACATACTTTATGTAATGTACCATGTATATTTTAAAATAATACACACACACATAATAAAACAATACTAAACAATCAATAGTATTATAAAATACAGTTTAAAAAGTACATACTGTTTGTTATTATTAACTAAATTTTTAATTTAAAAAAAAATTAATAATAAATAATATTATAGTGTTTTGATCGGTCCATAAGTTTGTAGTGACAGTCATACAGACAGACACAGACACTCACACATAATAATGTTAGTAACGGGTATACTATGTGTACGCAATCATTTGCCAATGGATGTCAAGTTTATCGGCCGTACAGTTTTGGTCCGCAACGGCGATCTGGACGGCGCTCTCCGAGTGGTCAACAAGATTATGGGCAACGAACGGCTGTTCGATATCTACCGGCGCACCCGTACCTATGAAAAGCCGTGGAATACCCGGCGTCGGGTTAATTGGGAACTATGCAAATCAATTTACAATGAGGACATGGATAGGAAAATCAAATTTGTTATGCGAACCAATCGACTGGATAGGGATCTGGCGGTTAAATTGTAGACACAAAATAATTTTTGAATATAAATAGTCGCAATGGGATTCGAACTCACAACCCATTATCTATTACATAATACTAGTGTTTGTACTGTAGATTAAATATTATGAGATATATATGATAATAACAAAGTGTTAGTTTGTATATTAAAATAATAATATATATATAATTTTTAAATAAAAATCAATTTCTATCTATTAATAGAAAAAATGTGTTTAAATTATTTTTTTTGATAAAAATTTATTTAATATTTTTGTCGATGAAATAGAGGGTCAAAAATAAAACAAAAAATAATTGGTTTCTACAAATAAATACTGGGTGTGTGTGTGTTTGTGTGAAAGTTTTAATTTAGTTATATAAATAAAAAATTTATCAATGTTATTTTTTTTGTACAATTAAATTTCTAAATACACAATAATGTAAACTTAATAATTAATGATAATTAATTACTAGTAAATAATATTAAAACATGAAATTTACAATATTTAATTTATATATATATATATTTATAAACACAACTCTCTATTTGAATGACAATATTGAGACTAAAATTTTTAAAATGAATTTTTTTTTTTGAAAACAATTTACAGTAGTTATACAATTAGTTTATATTAGAATTATTATTATTATTATAAGATAAATAACAGCAAAATACAATAGTTATTATTATTACAGTAAAGTAAAAATAATAGGTAATTGTTTTATAATTATTTTTTTTTTAAAAAACACTAATACTATTATAAATTACAAATTAGGAAAACGTATTTTTAAAAAAAATAATATTAAATAGTAATGAATGTAATAATGATTTTTTTTCTATCAAACGATTAAACAGCGTGTGAAGAGTCGTCTGTCATATCTCCCGGTGCTTACAAATGTATCGATATATCAATATATAAAAGCAGAAATTTTATCTCTGAGGGGAATGGTAGGCAATGGGAACGGGTGGTCTGGTCAAAGTAAGTACCGTAATAATAATTCTCTCTATCTCTCTTTCTCTCTGTCTATAGTTTATTTAAATGATTGGCCGTCATCTTAGGTGTCCAGTGAAGAAATTTCGGATCAATCACTTTGGGATTTTTGCGGCGCTTTAGTTTTGTACGAAACTCGTCCAGTATGTCCTTCTGGGTGAGCACCAGGTGCTTGCCTTTCCAATACTTTAACATTCCCATCGACTGCAATGTGGACACTATGTCGTAGGCATTGATACCGGTCTGTGAGCTAACGTCTAGTATTTTTTTAATGAAGAAAATGAATAATTAGTTTCTATTTTATTTTTTCTGTTAGTAGACTACCGGTAGTAGTATTACCGTACCTTTTATCGATATATCCTTTCCCTCATAGAAGGACAGATACTCGAGTATCACTTGTTTCCAATAGCTTCGATAAGAAATTAGTCCCAAATCGGATAACGGCTTTTCTGGTGAACCGACTTTGCCCTCTGTTTTGGTCAATAGATAGCCTTCAAACATAATAATCAACAAAATTTTTAGAGAGGGATGTCATGTCAAACAACAAAAATCAATTATATATAAGACATACTGAAGTCGATAAGCATCCGTCCGTAGCCCTGTCTCTGGTAAGGGGGTAATGTTAGTATACAGGAAACGTTATACGATAGGAACGACTGTTTCTCCTAAAAAAAGTGAAAGTTTAAAATATTAATTTAAAAAAAAGTTTTAATTTTTGTCGTAATTTCCGCAAAATCCCCAAACCTTCGAAAAATATCCGACAATATGACAGCCTTCGGCATCAGCTTCGGTCATAATATAGAAGAGAAACGGTTCGACATCGAAGTACAGTGTCTTGTGATCCAAAAATAATTTGGCCAAAAGGCAAAGATTCTGACAAAACTGTTTGTTTGTTTCGCCGTCCACTTCGAAGAATGAGATATTCGTTTTTCGGTAAATTTCATCGCCTGAAACAAAACAAAAACCAATGGTTAGAAAAACCGTAGAAATAATAGAAAACCGGTTGTAGAGCACCAACTCTACCGATTGGAAAGGATCTATACATACCAGGCGGGTGGCGGCGGACACACTTGTGTAGATGGCGTCTGAGTATCAGTGGACTGTTGGTGTATTTCAAACAAAACTCGCATATGTAGAGCTTCGGTAGGCACTGATATTCTTCGGGATAGGGACTAGAATACCAGGCGGCCATTTCGTAGCGGCCCATCTCTACCAGACCGATACCCTGGCGTTTGACGACCTGTTCGGCGGATAACTGTTCCTCAATGAGTTCGGCAGCCCTGGCCTGGGCTTCGCGAAACATATCCAAATCGAATATCGGTGTCAGACCTTTCAAATCGGGTTCTCGACTGTGTAGGTGTTAGGTATGTGTGGCACAGGTGTGCATAAATATATATAAAAGTACGGTAGTATTAGTAATTGAATAAATTTTTAAAAATTATTGTTTTTTAAACCTGGACGTCTTTTGGCGTTTACATTTAGGTCCTACACCTCCTCCATCTCCCTGTCCTTTATTTGGACTGTTGGCCGAAAGTAACTCCTTTTGCAAATCTTTTCGCCGACTTTCCAATAGTACTGTCAGTTTGTCCTCTTTGTTTGTCGGACTGACTGCCTTTTGGCGCAATTCGCGTCGTTTACCGCTCTCATCGGTGCCAAAGCCATCGTTACGTTGTTTTTGTCGCCGCTGTTGGCGTCGGCCGTACCGCTGGCGACAGTCATCAGGCGTAACGTTGTGATAGACGGGACACATGTTTTGCGAGGAATGTACGTCAAACTTGCCGGACAAGTGTCCAGTAGAGTCACAGTCCGGTACACAACAACGGCCATCGTTTTGTACGTCCAAATCGGAGCTGTCATTACCGGCATTATCGCGCTCGCTGTCTGTGTCTTCCATAGGTGAGGCGGCCGATAGGCGTTGAGTATCGCCACCACCGGCGGTGTCCGACTCGTGACCTGACGGTGTCGATGGTCGTAGAGTTTTGTTGCGCATTCGAGCTATATATGAAGCGGCGCCGCGACCTTATGGTTATAGAGAAAGAGAGAGAGCACCGGGAGTTAAGAAGTCAAATACACGAAATTAAATAAAATACCTCTCTTTCGGCGCTTTCGTCCACTCAATAGCGGTGTTGTTATCGCGGCCGATAAGCGGCCACCATTAGTCGTAGGCGTTAATGTACTATCATCGACATTAACGCCATTGTCATTATCATCATCATCGCTGGTCACAATAGTCGGTTCGGCTACAGTTGATCTAACTTTCGCTCTCTTCTTAGTTATGCTACTTGTTGTCGATGGCGGCGATTCAGTGGACGATTGTTTGGCCATTGATCGGGTCTTTCGTGTACTGTCGCCATTGGTTGCTGTTGTCGTCGCCACCGTATCGGCCGTAGCGGCACCGGTAGCGACCACTGTAGCCACCGATGACGACGCTCTACCAGTTACGCCACCGCCGCGTCCTCTGCCACGACCGGTATGTCTTGTTGTTGTTGTTGCCGACGTCGGGTGGCCTCTCATTTTGATTGTATTATAGTGGTTGACGTCGTCTTCGTCGGGCAATTGACCACTGGCTCTGGTGGTGACCACCAATCATTGACCGTACATTACGGGTGACCGCAACTGCAGTTTGTTGACTAAAATAATAAATAAATAAATTAAATGATAACCCGATTGAAGATATCAATCAATACATCAATTATTGTTTATCTTTAATTGATAATCACTTACCACTGATGCAAATGGTTTGTTGATTGTTGTGATTATAATAACTGCTATAATATTTGATTCAATCAATCGATGCAATCATTTATTTATGTTTTTATTATTATAATAATTATCTTAAATATTATAATAATAATAACGTTTTCATTCAATAGTATTATTAATACACAAAATAAACGTTAAATTATTATTATTTTAGTATTTTTTTGTAAACAAACAATGCTTTCGCTTTTATTTGATTACACTATTACTGTATATTCAATATAAAAATTAACATAAATTACGTCAAAAAGTATTTTAGATTTTAGTATTGCTTAATAACTTGTTTTTGAAATAATTATTATAAATTTATTTATTTATATTTAATTTTTTTTAAATTTATTTTTATTTGATAATAATTAATAATTAATTGTTTAAAAAGTTCTAAAAAATAAATTACTAATATATAAATATATACACACCATACAAATATACACACCAGTATTTTAATAATTATTTTTGTTTTTAAATATTTTTTCATATTTTCATATTTCATAATAATTATATATTGTAATATGTACTGTGTACTATATAAATCAATTTTTAAAAATCAAGATAACAATTTAAGATAATAGTTCTGTATATTTATTTAAAAAATAAAAAAAATAATCTGATTTAAAATATGATATTTTAATATTCATACATTTATATCACATTATTATTATTAAACGCCTTAATTATATATATATTTATAAAAATAATTTTATAATATTATATAATTTTAGAATTATATTTTTTAAAAATAAATAAATTGTCTATTATTTAAAAATATAATCTAGCTTATATATATATATTGTAAATCAAATTAAATATTAAAATTATTATGCTCATTATATTGAAAGTTCAGTAAATAAATTAATAATAAATTAATGATTGAATGATAAATAAAAATAATTATTTAGACCATAATGTCTGGGGTCGGCAGCTATAGCACCGGCAATAAAGAGATATTAAATTCAAACAACTTTTTTAGAATCAATTGTAACCCAATTTTGTTGAATAATATTTGTTATCAATAATAATAATAAAAATAAAAATAATTATATTAATGAATGAACACAAAATTTTAATAAATTAATTTTTACAAAATATATCATAATTAAAATATATACAAATTATATATATATATAAATTTTGAATAACTGCAAAAATGTGTTAATTTGTGTGAATGTGTTGGTATTGGGATAGATAGGGATTGAGAGGGAAAGGAGGTAATGGATTCAATGGGTCCATCCTTTAAAAAATTGATCCAGTTATACATTAATTATTTAATAGCCTCCCAGATGTCCACCATCATTGCCACCGTAACCTTTATTTCCTCCATCATTGCCACCATAACCGCCACCATTTCCTCCACCATTTCCTCCACCATTACCGCCACGTTCTCCTCTATGGACTTTAGTAAGGACTTCCTCTCTGACCGGTTCGATAACTTGGACAACCTTACGGAATGGAGTGATGACTTCACGGAGCTCTTGGATCACTGGTTTGGTCACTTCGTGGACCAATACATGTGCTTCATCTTTGGATGATGAGCTCTGGTAGGATCCTTTGCTACCTCTGTGTACTTGATTGACGTGTACGGGTGACGATTGGGTACGGAATGTCATATAAACGGGGAGAACACCACCGGGAACATCGACAAAAGTTGATTGACTTTCACCGGAACTCTGGACAGGGATCACTTCGATATTGTAGCTCGATCTGACCGGCAGTTCAATTGATTGACCACCATTACCACCACCATTACCGCCGCCATTACCGCCGCCATTACCGCCGCCATAACCGCCACCATAACCACCACCCATACCACTACCATATCCACCTCCCATACTATGATAGGAACGGGCGGCACATACGGCCAACAGAGCAGACAATGCAATAAACTATTTAAACAAATAAATGTAAATTATATATAATTTTTTAATAATTTGTAATATTAGCACAAAATATAACTTTTCAATTATATATTAAAAATTTACTTACTCTAAGCATTATTAATAATTATAAAATTAATATAATTAATAAAACTTGAATAATAAATTCAAATATGAAAGTGTATCACAAATTGTCTCCACTTTTATAGTCCTGAAACTATATCATACGTCAAGTCATTTACATACACACCCATAAAGTTTAATATTAATAACAACTAAAAAAAGACAATCAAATTTGAAATGCTATTTATTTTTTAGTTTTCTTAGTCATTATAACATAATTATGTAATGCATATGTTTTTTATATAAAATATTATGTGTGTGTGTGTAAGTATGATGTTTGATATTTATATTAAATAATCATAAAAATTTGTATATTTAAAGAATAACTTATATTTTTATAAATTAAAATTAACATTAATTCAATTAAAATAAAAACTTAGATAATGAAATTAATAAACAATTATAACAATTATTATACAATAAATCAATTATCAAACAATAAATATAATTATTTTTATTTGTTTAAATTATTGTAATTAATTTTATTGTCTAAAATTTAAAAATGCTACTAAAAATTTTGAATTATAATATATATACTGTATATATAAAATGAATAATAAAATGAAACAATTAATATTCAGATTTTATTAATCTAATTAATTATAATTTAACATAGATAACTTCAATAATTAATATTTAATAATTATTATAAAATACACTTTTGTTGCTAATTTGATTATAACAGATTGCAAGCATTAAAAGTAAAACATAAACTAGAATTTTTTGTTTGTAATTATATTGATTAATATAATAAATATATTTTTATTTTTTCAAATATTTTAAATAATAATTGTTTTTGGGATATGACATAATAATAATACTGTACATAAATATAAATTAATTTTAAAATATTAATCAAAAAATAAAAATAAATTCTTTATTTTTAATTTCTATTTTTTTTATTTAAATTATGATATTATAATAATTTTATACATTCATATCACATAATAACAAAAAAACGTTTTAAATATATATTTATAACAATAATAACAATAATATTATATATAATTTTTAGAGATAATTTTTTTTTTAAATAAATAGACTATCATTTTAAAATATAATTTAGCTTATTTATTTTTTTAAATCAAATTAAGTGTACAAATTGTTATGCTTATTATATTGAGTGGGATGAGTAGTAGTAGTAGTAGTAATAATAATTTGATAACACAATTATTGTTGATAAATATACAAATTTTATAGGAACGGTATGCAAACAGTTTAGGAGCATCTAAATGAAAATTAATAGTTAGACTATAGTGTCTGATTAGTTATGGCTACTGTTGCCGCAGGTGTTGACCGACATCATCGACATTACAGATACCAGTCCACACGTTTTTGGATATTTGTTTTAAATAATAATAATAATACAGTATTACTAATAAATATTATATATCATTGCAAATTAAAAAATAAAATAAAGTTTTCTCCAAATACTTTAAATGAACACAACATTTTAATATATAAATAAATAAATTTTTACAACATATACAATATTATGTATAATATATAAATTTTGAATAACTGTGAAAATGTGCCAATTTATGTGAATGTGTTGTTGTTGTTGTAGGGATAGGGAGGGAGAGAGAGGAATAGGAGTGTTTAAAAAAGGATTCAATGGGTCCGTGAGTTAACATCAAAATAAGAGGTAATTTGTTTTCTAGTGGTCAGTCCATTGAAAAAAAACATTGAATAAATTATCCATTAGTTATTATTTAATAGCCTCCTTTATATCCACCATCATTGCCACCGTAACCTTTGTTTCCTCCATCATTGCCACCATAACCACCATTTCCTCCATCATTACCGCCATAACCGCCACGTTCTCCCTTATGGACTTTAGTAAGGACTTCCTCTCTGACCGGTTCGATAACTTGGACAACCTTACGGAATGGAGTGATGACTTCACGGAGCTCTTGGATCACTGGTTTGGTCACTTCATGGACCAAAACATGTGGTTCATCTTTGGACGATGAGCTCTGGTAGGATCCTTTGCTGCCTCTGTGTACTTGATTGACGTGTACGGGTGACGATTGGGTACGGAATGTCATGTAAACGGGGAGAACACCACCGGGAACATCGACATAGGTTGCGTGACTTTCACCTGAACTATGGACAGGGATCACTTCGATTCTGTGGCTCGACTTGACTGGCAATTCAATTGAGTGACCACCATATCCACCACCATTACCACCACCATAACCGCCGCCATAACCACCACCCATACCACCACCATATCCATGATAGGAACGGGCGGCACATACGGCCAACAGAGCAGACAATGCAATAAACTATATAAACAAATGAATTTAGATATAATATGTAATATTAGCACAAAATATAATTTTTCAATTCTGTATTTAAACTTGACTTACTCTAAGCATTATTAATAATTATAAAATTATTATAATTAATAAAACTTTAATTCAAATTCAAATATGAAAGTATATCTCAAATTGTCTCCACTTTTATAGTCCAATCGACTCCCGGGACTATACTATACAAGTCAAGTCATTTACATACACACCCATAGAGTTTCATAATAGCAATCAAAATAAAAAAAAAGACAACCAAATTTGAAAATATTGTTTTTTTTATTTAATTATAAATTTTTAATGTCATTACTTCATAATTATGTAATACAGTAAATATCTGTTATATACTACTGTACTTTATTTTTCATTATTAGTGTGTAATTTTTGATATTGAGAAATCACCTTATTTTAAATTATCTGATGAATATCTTTTTTAAAAAAAATTTAAATATAAATAATAAAAATTAACAATAAAAAAATTGACACATTATTATGTGTAATTGCATTTTAAATGACATAAAACGTGTTATTAATTAAGTAGATTATCAGCTTAGACTAAATAAAATATTTTTAATACAATTATAATAATGTTATATTTATTTATTTTTAATTTTTTAAATAATATTATAATAAATAATAAATTGTTTATAATGATTATATTTATATAGTATTTTACAATTTCTTAATTTAAATTATGAATAATTAGAAGTATACTATTATTGTTATTATTATATGATATATTAGTACATTTAATAAATACAGTTTGTTTTTGATTGTTATTAAATTTTATTTTATATATATATATTTTAATGTATAGTACTAACATTTAAATTATTAATGATATTTTAATGATCTTGCAATTGAATGATTGGTATTTCAATAACAAAAATATAAATTTAACATTTGTGTTATTAAAATATTGTAATTAATACACAATATATATATTTTTAAATTTTTAATAAAAGATCAATGATAACTATTAATTTATTTTATTCATCATTAAATATTGTTGAATAAAATAAATTAATAGTTATTATTAATCTTTATTAAAAATTTGAATATATATTGTGTATCAATTACACTATTTTTTAACTTTTAAATAAGATATTTATTTGTCATAAAATTATAAAAACATTTTTTTTGGTAATTGAATTTTATTTAAAAGTTTTAATTAAACCTTAAGTCATGTGTTTTAAATTAATTTTGTGGTTTAAAGTTATTTTTTTTAATAACTTACATATGTTAGATATTATTGGATATATTTTATATTATATTATTTTAATGAAAAAATGTAATTTACAATGTTAATTACTTTAAAAATACAATAATATTAATTTTTTTTAAAAATATAATTATAAATTAAATATATTTTTAATTATATTCTAATATAACTTGTAAATAATAATTTAGTATTTATGCTAATTTTATTAGATTAAAAAATTTTATGTAATTTAACTGTTGTTTAAAAAATAAAACTTTATTATTGTACATATATATCTATATAATTAATTTATAATAAAAATAATATTGATATATGAGATAAACAATTAATAATATACAATTTATTATCAATAAATAATAATAAATATTATGTTAATCTAAGGTCAAAAAATCAACTTTTATAAATTATATTATTTTATTAATAATTAATTATTTGAACTAAATAATTTTTTTTAAAAAATGAGTAACTTACTAATTTTTGTTTTTTCAAAAAATGTACTCGTTTAATTATATATATATACTTTACACATTTATAAGGTAAAATATAAAAAACAATTATTATTGAAAATGCTAAAAAAATAAATAAATATCACATTTACTAAATAAATCAATATAATTACAAACAAAAAATTCTAGTTTAAGTTTCACTTTTAATGATTGCAATCAGTTATAATCAAATTGTCAACAAAATAGTATTTTAATTGAGTTATCTAATGTAATATTATCATTAAATAGATTACTATGATATATGATAAATATATTTGCAGAAACTATTTATTAATTTCATTTTATAAGTTATTATTTTAATTTAATAAATGTTATATTATTATGAATAATGTTAATTTTCTTTTATAAAAATTATAAGTTAAACACTAAATATGCAATATTATAAATTAGGAGATTATTATAATTATTTAATATACAGTAGATACAAATATAAAACTTTACTTATATATATATATATATTAATACTATTAATAAACTTATCTTAAGTTTGCTAGAAATAAAAGTGTTATCATTAATACAATACTATTATATAATAAAAATTATACGCAATATTATATACTTTATACTTTGTCTTTTACACAAAATATAAATGATAAACAATATGAAATGCAATATAAATTAAATGTAATAAACAATTTATTTATGAAATTGATAAGTAATATCCTTAATGTATACTACTATATTAATTTCACTATCAAATTAATATTAAATATTGAACTTGATAGTATTAAAAAATAATGATATTTTCTACAGTAAATAATTAACTATTTATTTTTGAATAATATTTTTTAGTTAAACAATTTCAAAAATATCATTAGAAAAATGTAATTATTTTAACTACAGTATATAATATATGTGATATAAAAGTATATTTGATAATTCATACAAATTAAACTGTAAATAAATATAAAATAAATAACTAATTTCTATCCCACAAATAGATTCTCAATTAATAATAATTACAGAAAAAATTATTTATTATTTATAAAATAATTGTCGAAATAACAGTTTGCACACAATTTGTGCAATAATTTATTACATTTATTATAATAATGATGAGTATATAAACAATTTGTGGTGATAAACATTACTAAAAAAAATAATAATTCAAAAAATATATTTAGAAATTATTTACTTTAATTATTAATAATAATAATTAACAAAAATAACAACAATGATAATGAAACCGCCGATAAAAGTATTGATTACCGGTGCTACTGGTAGTATAGCCTACAGTTTAATACCGATGTTGGCCAGTGGACAGGTCTACGGTTTGGATCAGCCGATAATTTTGCATCTATTTGCCCGACGAGTGAATCTATTGGCCGGACTTGCGATGGAAATCGAGGACAGTGTCTATCCGTTGGTCAAGTCGTTTGTGGTCACCGATGAGGAATCGGTAGCTTTTTCTAAAGTCGATTCAGCATTTTTGATGGCATCGACACCGAAACTGCCCGGTATGGTCAGGAGCGATATGTTGGCCGCAAATGTTAGGGTATGTAATGCTATAAAAATAATTGATTTTATTATATTTAAAAAAATAATAATAATTAAATTATAAACTTATTTATAGTTAGTTTTCAATTAATTTTTTGTTATATAATAGATTATAACTAAATAAAATCTATAAATTTTTATGAAAAATTTTATATTATTAAAATAAATTATTAAACAAAAATTAATCACTAAGTATTATGTTAATAATAATAATTAAATACTAACTCAAAAAATAATAATTAAATTTTATAAAATAAAAAAATATATATTATTCAATAGATATGTGCAAAACATGGCAAACTTTTGGCCAAATATGCTAAACCTGATGTAAAAGTGCTGGTCGTATGTAATCCAACCAACACATGTGCACTAGTAGTGGCCCAAAATGCTGCACCTGTTATATCATCGAGCAATGTGACCGCATTGACCCGTTTGGACCACAATCGGGCCGTACAAATGTTGGCTGCCTATCATAATGTCAGGTGCAGTGACGTTGCACGTGTTGCTATTTGGGGCAATCACTCGCACACACAGTTTCCCGATGCTAGTAATGTCCTAATAAATGGACAGTTGGTAACAGTAGCCAAAGACAGTTATTACACCCATGAGTTTGTCGATAGTGTCCGACAAAGAGGTTTTGCTGTTATTAAAGCTCGCAATAATACGTCGGCACTTTCGGCGGCCAAAGCTTCGGCTGATCACATGCATGACTGGTGGACAGGTAGGTGTCCTAATAGCTTCTCATTTATTAAATAAAATTATGTTTTAAAAATACAATTTATTTATGATTAACTTCATTTTTTTAGGTACAGATAACTGGGTATCGATGGGAGTCTTATCGGATGATAACCCGTACGGTGTGCCACAGGAACTGGTGTTTAGTTTTCCCGTAACAGTAGATAAGTGTAGCAAACAGTGGATGATTGTTGACAACATTGCACTAACAGATAGATCTAGAAATGCTATAAAAGTGTCGGTAAATGAATTAATTGAGGAAAAATATGAGGCATTAAATTGTTTAAAATCATAATTATTTTTTATTTATATGTATATATATTAATAATATAATAATATATATAATAACGAAAAAAATATTATTTTAAAACGTAAATTTATTTTACTATTAATTTATCAAAATAGTATTTGTGTTTGATTATTTTTTATAACATAATAATTTATTTAATATAATTTTATTAAAATATATTTATAATTATTTTTTATTGCTATACTTTTAAAAAAAAAACAAAACAAATAAATATTAAATTATTGAAATAAAAATGATTAAAATATTATATATATAATTATCTAATCTGTATATTTATATAGTAAATAGTGAATAATATTTATGATAACTTTTTATATTCAACTGTAAGCATGAATTTTAAATAAAAATTAAATATCATGATTTTTGTATTTAATAAATTATATATATTGTTGACTCAACAGGTTTATGTTGACAATGACAATGAGTACTGAAAAAATTTATAAATTTATATATACTAAAATTTCTTATACAATATTCAATATAAATTATAAATAAAATTAACAGTTTTTTTAAATAGTAGATTAAAAAAATCATCATAAAGTTATATATTTTTGAGATTAATTTAATTTTATAATTTAATTTTTTTTAAATACAATGAACTTTTAACTTTAAGTGAAAACAAGCATATGTTTTTATTTTGATAATAATTTAATAAGTAGCTTAACTAATTTGAAAATATAATAAACAACATTGATTATTATTTAGTTTATTATTGGTTATTACTATGACTACTTTATACTATAATACTAATACTATCAACATTACAATATAAACACTGTATATAAAATAACAAAAAGTTATTGTATCTATGTGATTTTTTAAAAACAAAATTATATCAATTTTTAAAATTGAACATTATTTTTGATTATGTTTGCAAATAATTTAGTTAAAAATATTATTTATTATTATTTTATATTAATAATAACATTATTGCCAATATGTTTGGGTTCACTATGTCCCTGTGAGGACCAAAAATTATGCCAACCAATTGATTATAATGGCAATGAGGTAAATTAGCTTAATTTTACTATAATACTTATCAATTAAAATTTTTAAAAAATAAATATTATTAATTTTATTATGCTTAAGAATTATGAATTTATTTAATTATTTTTTAAAAAAAATTATTTATTATTAATTAATAGGTGTATGCATTTGTTGGCCAATCTAATCGTACCGAATGGCAACTATACGATTGGAGCCGATTGACCACAATAGCATTGGCCGGCTTTTATGACCCGGAGCTTATGTGTCACGCACATAAAAACCAGGTCCGTGTCGTTACATTGGGTATGTATTGTTATTTTATTAGATGTAAATAATTGTCATAATATATACTAAATTTTTAATGATTTTCTGATGACAGCGGACTTCTCCAAACAGGACCTACTGGACCAACAAAAAGTAGACAAATGGATCGGACAACAGATAGACTACGCAAAAGAGCGCTTTTTGGACGGAATAAACATTGATGTCGAGTACGATATCGATGCCGACAGTCCACTGATTAATGGTTTAACAGAGTTTACCGGACGGGTAAGGGATAGGTTTCACGCGGCACTACCAAAATCACAGGTTACGTTTGACGTACCCTGGAGTCCAACAAATGAGAAAGGTAACACATGTTAACATAGATAACATTAATGTTTTTAATCTCTCTCTCTCTCTCTCTCTCTCTCTCTCTCTCTCTCATTAATTCACAATCACGTACTCACTCAAACACACAGACATATAAGTTTATATATTGTATTTTATACTATATTATATGTGTGTGTATGAGAGAGAGAGAGAGAGAGAGAAAGAGCTAAGAAACAAACCTAACTGTTCTCTCCATAAACAGGTAAAGGAGTTGATGGCCGTAACTACAACTTTACAGGACTGGCCTCTGCGGCAGACTTTTTGTTTGTTATGTCTTACGACGAAAAGTCACAGATTTTCGATACCGATTGTACGGCCAGTGCTAACAGCGATCTGTTTTGGACAGCAGGCGGACTATCGGCTTATCTTAAAATGGGTATACCATCTGAAAAATTAGTACTGGGTCTGCCCTGGTATGGCTACGACTACCCGTGCGTGTCTACCGGTCCGGAGAGGACATGCTTTATCAAAGAGGTACCGTTTCGTGGTGTGAACTGTAGCGACGCAGCCGGCCGTCAGCTACCCTATCGTCAGATACAACAGTTGAGTCAGACCTACGGAAGCAATTGGGACGAACACTCCAGGAGTAGATTTTTGTATTTCAATGTAAATTTCAAAAATTTAGATTTTTTTCTGAATTAACACAAATTATAGTTTAATTATATTGTTATCACATTATTATTGTATTATTTTTTAGGACACTTTAGGACAGACCCGTCAGATCTGGTACGACGACTCCTATACACTGTCATTGAAAATAGGTTTTGCCACTTATAAGAAACTACGTGGGGTTGGGATGTGGAACGCAAATATGTTGGACTATTCGGGAACAGCCGAAAGTAAGGCCATGATTGCCGACATGTGGCATACGTTTCCCGATTATCGGCACAACAAGACTGGCCATCAGTTAGTGGCCAAAAAATATCAGCCTCTATATGAATCGCTTATTATTAATAATAATAATAATGTTAATGATAACTATTAAAATTTGTTAAAATTATTATTATTATTATTTATTAATTAATTAATTAATATATAAAATTTTCTATTTCTATTAAATATTATTTGAAAATATTTTTATTTATTTTTTTATATATTTATAAATAAGCTTATATTGTAAAGGTACAGTGTAATTTATATGTATTCAATTTTAATGCAAAACTTAATTATTTGAAAATAAATTTTAATTTTCTATTATATTTTCTATAACTAATAACATTACATATTATGTATATATAAGTTATATAATATAACCTTCAAACTGCTTATGAAGTACAGTATAAATAATTTTATGAGACATGAAGTAAAACAGTTGGCGTTTAAAATTGATGGGAAAATCTGTAAAATTAGTATACTTTTCGTTTGGATCAATGAGTGCGACAAATGTCCACAAAAATATGATTAGACTTTTAGATATATTAAGTAAAAACTGAGAATCGATTTATTGTATCAATGGATCAATTAATATGAAAGTATCAAACTGTATGATAATATGTGGGGACAGTCAAGTGTACCGCAAATACAAGTCCTATCATTATTTGATTTGGTTATAACTCACGGCGGAAACAATACTATTACCGAAACATTTTCATTTGGAAAGCCTATGATAGTTATGCCACTGTTTGGCGATCAGTGGGTTAATGCACAGAGAGTTGAGGGGAAACGGTTTGGTATACAACTCGATGCCTACAAGTGCACTGAACAGGAGTTACTGACAGCCATTGACACGCTTTTGAAAGACAACTCATTGACCGATAAATTTAAACAAATATCGTAACGATTATTATTGAAAAATTTATCTAAAGAAAAAATATTAATTAGTTTTTTTCCATAATATTTAATAACTAAAATATTTATGTTATTGTTGTTGTAAAATATTGTAAACCTTATTACTGTATATTTAATTTACAATATCATATATATTCTTTATAAAGTTAAATAAATATTTACTTTAATTCCGATCACAAAATTAACTATTACTACAATATCAAAGTTTAGTATTTTTAAATTATTTAACTGTAATATAATTATATAATATAACTACTTTTTAGATATATATAAAAAATTTAATTAAAAAAAATTATTTAACAATAAGATCTTCAATCTGTTTGGCGACCACTTCATTATCATTTGATTGTCTAATCCTTTCGCCGATTAGTCTCATCTTATCAGCCAAAACCTGGTCGTCGACCAGTTTGTCGACCGACGACAACAGTTCGTCATCAGTGGCTATTAGTGGATGACAACGGAGTCCGAGACCCGTATCGACCAATCGCTGGGCATTTTCAAACTGATCGCCAAACAGCGGTAAGGCTAACATTGGTTTGCCGTAGTAAAAGGTTTCGGTAACCGTATTGTTGCCACAGTGTGTAATAACCAGATCGACCAGCGGTAATATTGCCGTTTGCGGTACAAACTCCTGGCCCCACATATTGTCGGGCAGATCGTCCACAATTTTGTCGTGCAGCGGACCAGTGGCCACAATAAACCTATGCCGTGATTTGCCGAAAATAGCGATCAGCCGTTGCATTAGCTCTATATGACAGCAACCTATTGATCCCATCGACAGAAACACTAGTTTACTATCCGACCGATTGTCCAGTAGTTTATCAGGCAATTCAAATGTTTCATCTGTTTGCCGAACAAAACCGTCAACTCGTCGCCAGTTTTCGGGCAACGGCTGTATCTCCTGATAGTCCAGCTCTTCGGGTGTCATATAAATGTTCAGATATGGCGATCGTGGATGTACTGTACAAATGTCCGACCAATCATACTCTACTTCGACACCATTGTTATCATCTACCGGTGCTGACGACGATTCATAGCTTTCTTTGACAATGTTGTGTAAGTTTTGTAGCATATCTTCAATGCTGTGCCAAAACTCTTGACACTCATCGCTGGCATCAACTTTGAGACCTGAAAACAATTTTTTTACAAAAAATAAATAATTTTTTATAATATTAGTTTACTTCACTATCTTTAAATATATTCAATTTTTTATATTTAAGATATCATATTATTATCATTATTACTATTACTGTGGCTAATAAATAATAAGACAAAATGGTTGCATTAGGTTTATCATAAATAAATCGATTATAACAATGTTTTAGTATATAGTAGTATATATTATACTTGAATACCTGACCATGGTGGTGGCAATTTTCTATTGTTAAAGGCAAACAAGGGTGACGCTGAAAACAGCCAAACCCACGGTCGGCCACTGTTTGTTAATGGATAACAACCGACATAGGAGTCGACCACAATTACGTCGGGCTGTAGTTCATCAATAATTTGTTGATATCTTTCTTTACGGGCCGTCAACATTGAGAACATACCTACCGGTAATAGCATCACATAATACCAAACAAACAAATTATTATATACAGGGAATTGTTTTGTTTGTTTGTTTGTTTAGTACATACCCTCAAAACCCATAGCCTGAAAATGTTTGGCGATAACCAGCGAACTGTCCCTAAATATGTCTTTCATTTGATTGATAAAATAGACGACCGAGTTTTCACCTTCGGGTACACCCGGAAACCCGGCATTTTCATAGTAGACTTCATCGTAACCGTATTTTTTCATACGACCCTTACTTGCCTGATCAATAGCAAACACACATCGATGGCCGCGTGCGGCCAACGAGTCGGCCAGTCCGTGACAAGCGTTAATATGACCATGGTAGTCCAATGGTGTAAATAATATAGTTAACATTTTTGATTTATTTTTTTTGTATACTAGTTTTTAAAAATTAAAAGTTTATAAGTTTTATTAATTGACTATTTTATATACTGTATATATATATACTATTAGCTATGTTGGCAATACTATTATAAATTTTACAATATTGTTATTAGTGTATAATATCCATTTTTCAGATCCTAAAATGTTTAGTGCTATTAACTAATTTTAGTGCAAATAATTATCATTGATATCCTTGATGTACTCATATAGCCTAGACATTACACACACACATATATATATAAATTTAATATACAATATACACTATATATTGCATGTGTGTTTGACAGGCTGCGTGTGTAAAATTGTTTAAATTAAAATTAATATATATTATTTAAATTATATGTTGAAATATATAAACTAAATTTTCATTGATCTTTGCATTAAAACAAATTAAGTATAAATTAGATAACTAAACATTAAAAAAGTTTTGAAATTTTAAACTCTCATTGAATTTGATTTGTTTATTATATGTTCAAAAAATATTACATGTGATTATAGTACAGTAGTAGTTATGTTAACATTATTTGGTCAAATTGATAATCTAAATATTTGTAATAAAAGTCAATGTTATAATATTTTAAGTAAATACAGTTATACTATTTTTTGTGATAAAATACTAAAATTTTTGCACTTTATTCAAGTTATTTATGTTAATAATAATAATAATAATTTATATACAGTATATTATATTACTATAAATATCTAGTCAAAAATGAATATAATTTTTTCAAAAATAAATAAATAATAATTTTAATTATCATTTAAAATAATATCTACAGACAAATTAAATAAAATTAAATTATGATAAAAAGTTTATTAATTATAGTTTTATATTTTACATGAATTTTTTGTTTGCATTTTATTCATCTAATTTAAATTTTTAGACTTTTTTATAGAAATTTTTTAATCAATAATATCCACCACTGAATATCATCGGACGATTAACTTAAAGATAAAAATATAAATTAAATAAAAAACAAAAATTTGATATATATTTATATATTGTATTAACAATTTATCGTATTTTTTAATAAATGTTTAAAATTATACAATGAAATAATACAGTATTTATGTCCTAAAATAAAAATGAAATTATTTTAAATAATTTTTTTTTTTTATAGAGAATTAATGTAATAAAACTCTCTTTCACTTTTACACACACACACACTTACACACTCACACACTCACCCACACACACCCACTCACCCACTCACCCACTCACTCACACACTTACACACAAACAATCAGTTTTGTTTCCAAACAATAGACTCTATTAAACCCGCGACCACTTCTTTATCGTTAGATTTCCTGATCCTATCGCCAATAGTTTTCATAGTTTGGGCCAATTGGCTATCGTTGACCATCCGGTCGACGGCATCCAACAGTTCACTATCTGAACAGTGAAACGGACTGATACGTACACCCAAACCGGTTTCGCAAAGTCGCTGTGCATTTTCATACTGATCGCTAAACATTGGCAACACTAGCATTGGTTTGCCGTAGTAGAAGGTTTCGGTAACCGTATTGTTGCCGCCGTGAGTGATGACCAGATCGACCAGCGGTAGTACAGCTGTCTGAGGCAAAAACTCCTGTCCCCACATGTTGGCCGGCAAGTCATACCTGTTATGTAGCGGTCCTTTATTGACTATAAACCGATGTCTGGATTTGGCCAATATTTGTGTCAAACGTATCATAAGCTCCAAATGTGAACAACCAATCGATCCCATCGACAGTAGTACCAGTTTTCCCGGTCGATGGCGCAAACATTCGGGTATTGTAAACGTTTCGTCCGTTGTCCGGACAAAGCCGTCCACTCGGCGCCAGTTTGACGGCAACGGTTGAACCTCCTGGTAGTCCAGCTCTTTGGGATACATATAGATGTTGAGGTGTTTTGATCGCGGGTGCAAATATGTAGACGAATCGGACTCCAGTGGCGGTGCGCCCTCACTGAGCAGCCATTGGTTGATTGTATTGTGCAGACATTGATACATGTGCTCGAGTTGGCCATTAAAATCTAACCATTCCTTACGATTGCCTTTTATGGGAAGTCCTAATTTGATTTGTTTTATTTTTTGTTTGTTTGTTTTGATGAGTGATTGATTGATTTTTTTTTTGTTTTGCAATTAAAAAAAACAATTTACAATAGTTAGTAAATATTGTTTAAAATGTAAATAAATAAATATTTACAACTTTTTCTTAACACTACAAATAATTAAAGATAATTGACTTATTTGTCTATTTATAACTTACATATTAAATATATGTATTTTATCTAATAGGGTTAAACTCGCGTAAAAACAAATATACAAAACAATATATATATTAGTTAGTAATATAATTTATCTAGGTCAATAACAAGTTAAAGGTATTATACAATATGACATAACATATTAGATCATTGATTAGGATATTATTAGTTGTCAAATAAATAAATATTTTTTAAAAACTATTTGTTATTTACTATTATATGATAAATTTATGAATTAATATTAATTTAACATTACAATTAAATTAAATTGTTAAAATAAACAATAAAATATATTTAAAAGAAATAAATTATTATAAATTATTTATAAATACATAATTAATTAACATATAATACAAAATATAAATTAAAAAGTAGTATCTTATATTCAATAATTACATTTAGTTGATTAAAAAAAATATTTAAATAATTTTATACTATACTTACTGGTTATCAACTAAGAAAAATTATTTTCAATTGATATCTCTAACAAATTTAAATACATTTTATCATAAAATATGTAGTAGTAGTAGAAAATAATTTTAAAATAATAAAAAAAATAGTATCACTATATAAAAACAAAATGATAACCAACCTGACCACGGTGGCGGCAATTGGTCGTTGTTAAAGGCCATCAACGGTGCAGCTGAATATAGCCAGACAAACGGTACGCCCGAATTGGTCAATGTTGGCGATCCGATATACGAGTCGATGACAATGATGTCGGGTCTCACGCGCGCTATAATCTGTTTGTATTGTGAGTCGCGATCGCGAAACGTGTTGAACATACGCTCGAAGGCTGTCACGCATACAGTTTCGGCCACTCGGACGGCACTTAACTTATATAAGTCGGGATTTTTGTTGATATAGTCAGTACGCGGATCGATATCGCACACCACTGGCCTTGTATTGTAGTGTAGTTCCTCGTCGAAGCCAAACGATTCGAGTCGGCCTTTGAATGCCGAGTCTACGGCAAACACTACCCGATGGCCGCGATCTCTGAGCGTTTCGGCCAACCCGTGGCACGCATTTATGTGTCCCCAACCGTCCAATGGTGTGAACAACACTGTTAACAAACGTTTGGCCGGCATTTCTTTTGTGGGCTACTATTTCGTTGGGTTTAAAATAATTTATAAACTAATAACTAATGTCTATACAAATATATAATAAATTTTATTAAAATAATATTATTATTAATATTAATATAATAGATCACGTTTTACCCTTAAGACTAAATATCTATATATAAGAGAGACACTAGAGATACAATTATTGGCTATTTATACAATAAGTATATAAATATATATATATATTTATATAAACTTGTGGTGATATATATATATTTTTCACGTATGTCTAGAAATAATTTAGTTTTTTGATATAAATTATACTAAAATATTTTATTTTCAAAATGTTTTTGACCGATAATTTATATACAAACAGACTACTAGAATATACAGTTGAATAGATATATAGTATCATTTGATTAGTTATTTTTATAACTATTATAACTAATATTGGGTTTGATATCCCCCGTCGCCGGGGATTATCAATGCTAATCATTGTCCCGTTTTTTTGTTTGCATAGCTGTTATGGATGTTTGATAGGTATTTAAAAAAATAAATTTAAGTTCAACAAAAAAATTAATTATATTATTTTAATATTAAATGAGATGATAGACAAGGTTTGTCATCTCATAACAACAACAACAACAAAATTATGTCAATTAATTTTGTTAATTAATTAATTAATTGATTCATTATTTCAATTTGTTTGTCAACAAATTGTTTATTAAATTAAATTTTTGTTAAAAATATTTATAAAAATTATTTATTTTTTATTTTTAAAAAATCAAATGATTTACTTTCTTATATTTAGATTTTTATTATTTTAATTAAATTATTATCAAATGTGAACTCTAAATATGTTATCAGAAAAATTAAAAATAAAATCTACTAATATGTATAACAATAAATAACTGGACCTTGAACTAAAATTAGTACATTTATTTTTTAGCGGCAAATTTGGACAAAAATATTTTTGTCACCTAATAAAATACCAGGAAAACATGTTTTCACAAATATATATATATAATAGTATTATCTAAATAATACTATTATATAAAATAAAGTGAAAACATTTATGTGATATATTTTTAGTTATATCTATATATATATATACAGTATATATATATATAGTTTATACATATATAATGTTGTTGTGTTGTTGTTGTTTATATTTAAAAAAATTATCTAAAAAAATTTATTGCGATATAATAAGTATTTAATATATAATATAAATAAATAAACAAATATTACAAATATCTATTGAGAAATAGACATTTGTAATAAAAAATTTTATTGATAGTAATATTTAAAAAATTAATAATATATTGCAAAATATTACAGTAATATAAATATGTATACATAAAAAGCTATTATAATTAGAAACAAAATTTGTACTACAAATATTTAATTATTAAATAAAAATTATTTATTGAAATTGTGAGTATTTAGCAAAAAAAAAACAATGCACAACAATATATCTTATACATAAAAATTAATTTTTATTAAAGTTTTAATTAACTTTATTAAGATATTATTAATAAATTTATACAAAAAAAAACTAATTTTTAAGAAAACATTATCATATTAATTGATTAATAATTATATTATGTCAGTAAAAACTAAATTTTCAAATATTTTTGGCAATTTTGATAAACTATTATCTATTATAATTGAATACGTTGTGCAATATTAACCAATTTCTTATGCAATTGATTATCGGCTAATAGTTTATCGATTGCCGACAACATCTCATATTTGGTCTACAAATGAACATTTAGTCGGACACCTAAACCCCTGTCCTCAACACACTGTATGTTATCGGAAGTAAATGAGTTTTCCTTATTTGTCACTCAATAGTTCCGATAGTTTCAAACTTATGTTTCTTTTAAATTCGCATAAATTATTTTGCACTAATTAATAAAATTTATTACTTATTTTTTTTTGTTTAAATAGAAATATAATTAATTTTTTAATTGTTTTGTTAAAATATAATTACTGTATTTTTATATTGATGTAATTAAGTATTTTTTGTTTGAGTATTTAACTACATTAAACTAGTTTTTATATTTAATAAATTACTTTTTATTTATTTATTTTCTATAAACAAGTTATATGACAACTTAGCATTTATGATTTTTTAAATATTAAATTTGTTATTATTTCTAATATTATATAAATAATAATTCTTATAAAATAGACTTAAAATAAAAGATTTTTTGATAATTTTTTTTTGTATAATAAAATTAGTAATAATACTATCAATATATTAATACAATATTATAGACATAATTACAGTATTATATAGTATTATAAAATTATTGATTGATTAAATTAATATTAATCTATGAACTTAATTTAAAAAATAAATCTAAAACAACTTTATTTAGTAAATAATTAAACTTAAATTAAATAGAAAATATTGTAATATTTGTTTTTACAAGTATTACAATTTTTCTAAATACTGTTTATAAATTAATTTAATTAGTAAAAAACGAATTAACTATTTTCATAATAAAATTAAATTTATTTAAACTTAATGCTAAAATATTTTTATGTTTTCAATATTTCATATAAATCAATATTTTTCTACTGTCATTATTATTGATTACTCCTAACACTAGAAATAAAAAAAGACAAAACTATTATATTATTAAATTTATTTTTGTAAAATGAATATTGTTTTATGAATATTCTTTGATTATAAATATAATACATTTAAAAAAAATATTTTTTTAATAATAAATTTTTATATATTTCACTATGAAAAACAATAACTAGGAGGAACCGCTTATCTAATCTAATTTTGTAAGTATTTAGCAATAAAAAAATGTACTGCAATACTTTATGCATAATAATAATTTTTATTAAAGTTTCAATTAATTTTATTAAGTTAAGTTATTAATAAATCTATACAAAAAAAACTAAATTTTAATAAAACATTAACTAATTAATTAATTGAATAATTATTATTTGAATTAATAGTTGTTTTGTCATTAAAAACTAAATTTTCAAATATTTTTGGCAATTTTGATAAACTATTATCCGATTGAATACGTTGTGCAATATTAGCCAACTTTTCATGCAATTGATTATCAGCTAATAGTTTATCGATTGCCGACAACATCTCATTTTCGGTACACGAGTGAAGGTTTAGTCGTACACCGAAACCTCTGTCCTCAACACACTGTGCGTTATCGAACTGATCGACAAACAGTGGTAATACAATCATAGGTTTACCGAAATACATGGTTTCGGTAATAGTATTGTTGCCGCCGTGTGTTATGACCAGATCGACTAATGGAAGTACTTGTAGTTGTGGTACACTTTGTTGACCCCACATGTTGTCTGGTAAGTCATACTCATTATGAAGCGGACCTTTCGATACAATAAACCTATTGTTTGATTTCGATAGTATAGTTGCCAGACGTTTCATATTGTCGACATCAATGGCACCCATAGATCCCAATGAAAAGTAAATGAGTTTTCCCGGTTTGTCACGTAATTGTTCCGGTACTTTAAACTTATCTATCTTTTCATTTCGCATAAAATTATCAAATCTATGGACATTTGCAGGCAATGGTCTAATATCAGTGTAGTCCAGTTCAATGGGAAAGGGATATATATTCAAATACGGTGACGGATGAAAGTATTCACAATCGGGTAACGGTTTACAGCCTTTACTAATAAAATAGTCGTTAAACTGTTGCCATTGTTGACGGGTTGCGTCGTTAACAGTTTGCCGATATATTTGCCATTGATTTTTGTTACCGTTTATTGAATAACCTGAATATAAAGAAAAAGTTAATTATTTATTTATTTAAATTGAAAGTTTAAAATAGTTTTAATGAGATTTTTATAAATATCTTGTAATATAAATATTCAATAAATATAGTATAAGTTATAATTTTTAAGTATAAATCAATATTTATATTATTTTAACATTAGACAGATATTTAATAACTAATTAATCAAAATTTTGACATTTTTATATTGAATGAAAGCAAATGTTTCTGTTTGTTTGTATATGTTATTAATATATAAAAATTAATATTAATTTAATTAAAAATAATAATAACAATGATATAAAATAATAATATATTAATTTTATAAATATTATTGTTTAATAATAAAGATAATTATTAAATAATTAATTATGTAATAATAATAATAATACGAGTAATAGCATACCTGATCCAAATGGTGGTGTCCGGTTGTCATCAAACAAAAGCAATGGATTACAACTGCACGACCAAATCCATGGCACACCCGACTGTTCAACTGATGGATAGCCAACAATCTGGTCTAAAACTATCAGATCGGGTCTGACTGTGGCAATAGTATCCACAATAATTGGATCCAATTGTCTGGCCATCAGACAAAACTCTTTAACACGTATGGTTTTAATGCCAACCATCTTATTAATGGTGGGTTCATCCCGAAAACATCCCTCATCTTTCATTGCCTTTGCCCACAGTTTGGCCGGATCTTCATCGGCACTGATTTGATCGCCACGTATATCATAATATAGTTCTTGAAAACCGTATTTTTCAAGTTTTCCGGTCCATTGATGAGTAATCAAAAACGTAACCTTATGTCCCGATCTGGTCAATTGTTGACCAATACCGATGCAAGAGTTTACATGACCGACGGCGTCGACCGGTATAAACAGGACAGACATACTTTTTCGGGTCATTATTATTATTATTACTTTATTAGTATTAGATTTAAAAATAGTATAAAACTAATAATTTTGTTGAGGATATCTATTATATTACTTTTAGCTATAATTTTGAATATCTATTTTTATTTACCTTTTAATTGATACCTATTTTTAAGTGCATTCCATATTATATTTAAGTACTTTTATTGCCGACAACTATCCATTTACACCTATTCCTGGTATGATCGGTCATTTAGGTCATCCTATTGGCACCATTAGACCGATCTAACCGTCCAACTGTCTTTTATTTGAACTGACCAATAGCTACCCATTTAATACCATCACATACCTGTACCTCACACACTATAAAAACCCAATGT